CGAGAAACAGCCCCATTTATCTTCGACTGTCACCTTGATAAGCAAGTCCTCCTTTGTAACGTTGTCTGGCATAAAGTTGCCATACTTCTCCAATATGATTGTGTCGCCGGAACCGATGCCTTTGACAATTGGAATAAGCACACTAACAGGAGTCATTCTGGCCCCAAGACAGGTCTGGCATTTCTTTTTGTAAGTATTGACTCCTGCTCCATCACAACCAGAGCACGTAACAGATGCTTTCTTTCTGTTATCACTCAACCGGGTTTGGACATATCCAGCACCATTGCAAGTCACACAATTCTCAGAAAAGAGAACACTACTCTCAATACTATTATTTCAAAATTACTATCATGCTAGTTTTTTTATTTATTTCTTTTTGCTTACCCATGGCATGTTTGGCAGTTCACCTTGAGGTTGCAGTAAACCTTGAAGGCGCTCACGCCGAGATACGATTCTTCTAAAGAAACTTCCGCGGTAGTATGGATATGGTAGTCTGATCCTATAAAAAATTTTTAGCGGAGTTTCAACATTTTATAACAACTAAGCCTTACTCTTAGGAGGTGGTGGTGGAGGAGTATATGGTCGTGGTGGAGTTGGCGTCCTGCGTCGTCGTCTTGAGGTGTAAGGAGAAGTATTTGCGTAAAAGCTTTCGAAATCGAACTTCATTCCGCCTTTTCTTTTCAAATCGTAAGCCACTTTTTGTTCATGATCAGACAAAATCTCATACGCGTTCAAAATTATTTTGAACTAAGGCAAGTTAATGTCATGAAATGAGACAGATAAAAAAAAAACTTTTACCTTTTCGGTTCCATTGGGATTTTTATCAGGGTGATAAGTTTTGGCCTATAAACAAGTTAGCTACACAGTCGGTTTATTTGAATAAAAATGTACTTACCAATTTGTAATAAGCCTGCAATTAAGAAAATAAAAATAAATGAGTTACATTGACAAAAAAAAAAATTAAGACTCATTCATACCTTTCGAATTTTAGAGGAGGTTGCGTTTTCTGTAACTCCTAATGTCTTATAATATGATTTCGTCATTATAATTCTGATTGTTTTGTATGAATGAGTAAAAAAAAAAAGAGAATGTCGACACCTACGTCTCTTTTTTTTAAGTACTTTTTTTAAATCACGGGGGTTTTTTTTTGAAAAAATAACAGGTGACCCACGTACTTTTTTTTTTTTTTTTTTTAATCTTACTATTTTTTGTAGTAAAGTTTCTCCTTAAATAAAACTTTGAAAATGTCGGTTACTACTTTTACAGCTACATCGTTTCCTACTGTAGGTGATACCTTTGCCTTTGTCGAGGAATTATAGACGCCTGTTTGGATGCTGCAGCCAACCAAGGTTATCAGCTATTCATCCGGGACATTTCACACATTGGACAGGCTGAAAAGCCAGCCTTTTTCTATTACGGCTGTGTATTCAAGGCTGTTCGTACAGAGAACTCTCCCAAATTAGTTAAAGTTACAGTGACGGGAACATGCGACTTTTTTATCAGAGCAGTTTTGCCCAAGGAGAATGGAGATCGCTGGATCGTTGAAAGCCACAACAATGTCCACATTCATGACATGTTGGAAGACGACAAAAAATTATGTCTTGTCAACAACCGGAATCTCCATTACGAACAGAAACATTAAGATTGACGAGATGCACGTCGCAAACGCCAAGACATCCTCTATTGTCGTAACCGTAAACAACGTCAAGTTCACAAAGACGAGAGTGTTTTCAAAGGACATGACTAACCAACGTGCTTTGTTGAGACGTGGTTTAAAACAAGGTGAAAATCAACGTCACATGAATCCCTTCATTCGCAACTTGGAAGAGAAGGGGTACACTTTATTAAGCTAGTATGAGAAGAATGGAAGGTTGACCCTATTTTTATTTGCCCATGTTAGTACGATAAACAACATTCTTCAATGCCCCAAACTACTTCTCGTTGACGAAAAATACCGTACTGACATGGTTGCTTATCCTCTAATAAATGCTACTGGTGTGAACAATATCAGCAATGGATCGAAGAAGGGTTTATGGAATTACACTATTGCTTTCGCCTGGATTGCGGACAAAACCAAGGTGACTTATCAGTGGTTTTTCGGAACACTCAAGACAAAGCTAATGGTGTGACATGATGCATGAAAAAAATCTTACTTTTTATCCTTCAATCTTTGGATTATTATTTTTATTTTATGTGATCACTCTTATTTAAATTTGAAATAAATTATTTTATTTATAATTTTTTGTTTTTGGTCATAAATTAGTAAAAATGTAGATCTACGATATTGCTGGTACCTTACCAGAAGTGATTATCACTGATAAAGCTGCAAGTGGTCCTAGTGCACTGGTTAATATCTTTTCAGAAGTCTACAATGATTTGTGTTTGGCACATTATCGCTCAAAATGTCAAAACTAATTTTCTTAAGTTGTTCCCGGACATGAAAGAATATGAAGCCTTAGTTAACTTATTTTGGATGTCACATGGTAGCAAAAAGGATGCTGAAAGTAGCGCCAATGTCAGTAACTGTCGTATTTGGATACGATTCACTTAAGCATAATTGAGCAATTCGTATAAATAAATAAACAAAAAAATTAAAACAACATTTCGCATACCAGCAAACGCTTGTATAGTGCTATCCAACTTCTCATACTACGAGTACATACGTCTATATTAAAAAAGGATGATTGGCCTAAATATGATATACGAATGACAGTTAAATACGGAATGCTATACCACTTAGTTACGATATCATCGATCGAGTAGAGTATCTTCTCAAATCAAATCAAGAATTGTAAGAAAGAGAAATTTAATATTAATAGTTCTCGCAATGAGTTAGCTGACCAGAGATAGAAAAGAACCGCTATTAATATAAATGTAACATTGAGTACCATACTTCAATTAATCAGCATGAGTTACTTATTGCTTATAAAAGAAGAAGGAGAAGCCGAAGAAGAAGAAGAAGAAATATAAAAAAAAAGAAGGTTCTTAGAGCGATCTTAAAGGAGACACAAATCCAGTAGTATACAATGAACGAGTAAAGAATATAGTGCTTTTAGATGTAAAAATTTAAATCGTTTTTTCAATGACCTTCTACAAGATGTTGTGAAAAGATAAATACAAAAGATAACTGACAGCAACGAAAAGAGGAAAAATTACTTGGTAACGATTATATGTACGATCGTATCATGTGTAACACTAAACAATGTGCTGGTACATCGGCCAATTGAAGCACTTGTATGGAAAACTATTAAGAATGATTACCTTTCAGCTGCTCAGCTTAAATTCTGGATCATCGGCAGGCTCCAGCTAATACATGGTGTTAAAAATCATATTTACGCAAAGATACGCAGCATCATTGGTGGGTGCGATCAGTATATAGGCGAAACCCCATAAAAAATACAAGACATTTATAGTGAGGTAAACATGAAGGATTAAAAAAAAGGCATAAAAGGTAAAAAAAAAAAAAGACATTAAAGATTAAAAAAAGAAAATGTGGTTTTTATTACTATGAAAAAATGGAGAATCGCTAGCCTGTTTCAGCAAAGAAAACTGATCAAGTGCTGCGATAGTTGATGATAGATAAAGATAAAACAAGAAAGTACTTTGAGACTGCTTATAAGATTTATTAAAAGTAAAAGTAGATTAAAGATTCAGAGGGTTCTATTCTAACTATCAGTTTGCATATGTATGTATGTTGAGAGAGATCGGATTATGAATTTAGTTTAATGGGTAAGTTGTTGTATGCGAGCTGTAAACACACCTTAGCTAAGGTAATACGCTTGTGCTACGACAATTGAAATATTTTCACTGCTGTCATATTTATCATATGTCAGCTGGTAATTGCAGAGTTCACGTAGCACCAAATGCCTATTCAAGTACGGGTTGTTTATTATATTCTCCTTACTGCTCCTTGTGGGTTTATTGACAGCTTAGACAATATTTGGATATAATCTACCCACGATGGCAGTGTCACGCTTGTAGTTTTAGTTGTATTCATTATGTATAAAAGAAATCAATATTTTTATGTTCAATAAAATTTAGTTCCTTTTTGCAATCTGGTTAATAGATTGTCTTATTTTCTATTTTGGATGTTTCATAAGTTACACAGCACTAAAATGGGGCTTGTAGTTGCATATGATGTAATGCATAAGAAATTGTTTCGTGTTTTGATGTAATATTGTATGGGATGATGAAATGACATTGAATGCAGTATTGTTTTATGGTGTAATTAGTAACAACGGTAGGTGGATCACCACAAGTACAACTGCGAGGACGTCAGTCTCCGTGTGCACTCACCCACTTTTTATTAGTTTTGATGGCTCTCAAAAGGGCTCCGATGTATCACCACAAAGAGGTGAAAACACCATCTTCTCATCGTTGCAAACAGGACGATCACTAATGAGATGCATATCAACAAGCCGATTATCGACTGATCAGACGAGGGACCTATTTCGTTTAAGTCATGCTCCACAACCGGCAAGTAGAATGTTACTTCGAATCATTAAAGACAACTCCCGCTCTTATGCTAGGGCTCATGAAATATGCTCCTGAAGAAGAAATTGTTGTTAAAAACGCCTTCGTATCTTGTTAAATAACCACAAAGAGCTGTCACATATACCAAGTGTGAAAGGTAATGTCACCCAGAACAAACCGCAAAGATTCAGTATAAGAGCCTCGAGACCTGTCATCTTTGGGGACCACCCCAAATGGCACTTGATAACGAAATAACCGAACGAAGCGACCAATCTGGATTCCACGATGTGTCGTGTGACTTCATGTAAATCATCAGGAATAACCCCAACGATGGCCTTGGGCACTAAGGGATAACAATTAGGTAGTAACAATAAAAATCCATAGTTGTTACAAGTATGCCAAAATAGTGAACAAAACGTCTGACATATAGAACTCAAAACAAAGACAATGAAAGATTAAGCGTATCCCACTCCCTCCCCTCACTCAGGTATTCGCATGACTGTCCCCAATATATAAACTTTTTTTAATTAATTAACACAAGGATCCTTTCCAGAATCTGATACATGTTCATCTTCATTATTATCACCGTTTCGTGAACTAACATCGTTATCTTGGTCGTCGTCGTCTTCAATAACAATGGTCTTCTCTCGGATCTCACGTTCTTCCTTCGTTTCAAACATAATATCAATTTCATCGCGAACGTATGGATCCTTGGGAATGTTGATTTCATCAGGGAAGATCACGTTAAATCTAATGATAAGACAACCCTTGTTGTCATCTGTATCAGAGAATACGGGCATACCTTCTCCTTTCTGAATTATGGTCTTGCCGGGTGTGATTACTTTGCCAGGGGTTTGTGGAATGTTCAATTTGCGGCCATCCATATGTTTAATAATGTTGCCTTTTCGATTTACTCCCATAAGAGCATCTCGAAGTTTGATGTCAATGGAAGCAAGTAAGGTGTCTTTGTGGCGCGTGAAGCAGCCCCAGTGATCATCCACAGTTACCTTGATGAATAAGTCGCCCTTGGTAACGTTGTCGGGCATGACATTCCCGTAGTTCTTCATCCTAATCGTGTGACCGGATTCAATGCCTTTGGCAATTGGAATCAACAGACTTACACGAGTCTCTTTGGCCCCAAGACAGCTTTGGCACTTCTTTTTGAAAGTTTTTACACCTTTCCCATTACAACCAGAGCATGGAACGGATACTTTTTTCCTGTTATCCCTCAAGCGGGTTTCGACATATCCAGAACCATTGCAGGTCACACAAGCCTCGGAAAACAGAGCAGAATTCTCATTGCTATTATTTCAAAATTATTATCATGCTAGTTTTGTTTTTTATATCTTTTTGCTTACCCATGACATGTTTGGCAGTTTACTTTCAGGTTGTAATAAACCTTGAAGGCGCTCACGCCGAGATACGATTCTTTCAAAGAGACTTGCGCAGTTGTAAGTATGTGGTAGTCTGATCCTATAAAAAAAATTAGCGGAGTTTCAACATTTTATGTCAACAACGCCTTACGATTAGGTGGTGGTGGTGGAGGACTGGATTGTCTTGGTGGAGTTGGTGGAGCTGGTGGAGTTCGTGTTCTGGGTCCAGGTCTTGAGGTGGAAGGACGATTACTTGCAAAGAAGCCTTCAAAGTCGAAATCCGTCTCACGTTTTCTTTTCAAATCGTAAACCCTTTTTTTGTCGGGATCAGATAAAATCTCATACGCGTTTGAGATTTCCTTGAACTACGGCAAGTTAATGTCATGAGAGGAGACAGATAAAATAAAAAAAAAGTTTTACCTTTTCGGTTCCATTGGGGTTCTTATCAGGGTGATAATTTTTGGCCTATAAAAAAGTTAGCTACGCCTTCGGCTTATTTGAATGAAAATGTACTTACCAACTTGTAATAAGCCTGTAATTAAGAAAAAAACAAATAAATAAGTTATATTGTTAAAAAAAAAAGTAAGACGCGTTTATACCTTGCGAATTTCAGAGGTGCTTGCTTTTTCAGTAACTCCTAAAGTGGTATAATGTGAATTTGTCATTATAATTCTGTATGTTGAGTATGAATGAGTAAAAAAAAAAGAGAATGTCGACACGTACGTCTTTTTTTTTATTAAATACTTTTTTTAAATCACGAAATTTTTTTTTTTATAAAAATAACAGGTCACATACGTACTTTTTTTTTCGTTACGTTTTTCCTTAAATGTAACTTTTAAATTGACGATTACTACTTTTAAAACTACAACTTTTCCTACCATAGGTGATACCTTTGCCCCTGCCGAGGAGTTTAAAGACGCCTGTTTGGATGCTGCAGCCAGCCAAGGTTTTCAGCTTTTTATCTGTGACAGTTCACCCATTTGACATGCTACAAAGTCTGCCTTTTTCCGTTACGCCTGTGTAATCAGCAACAAGTACAAGGCCATTCGTATCGAGAACTCCTGGAAAAGTGTTAAAGTTACAATGACAGGATCCTGAGAATTTTTTATCGGAGCAGTTTTTGTCATGATCGTGTCACTTAGATGCATTAATTTTGGTTATTCTTTGTCAGCATCTTGTGATCTACGTGTCAGCCATCAATCATCAAATATCTCTCACAAATAAGTAATGATTTACTAAACTTTGTCATTGCTTATTTTTATGATAAATAACTATGCAATCCTCTAGTATTGATATTGCCTCACTTTCCCTATACTTTCTTCACTTTCATCAGATATATTATCTAATAACCATCTCTTTTCTTTTCCTCTTTCTTTTTTTCTATCTCTTATAATAAATATGATAGTTATCATTTATTTTTCTGTTCTTGTAAGCAAGTATTCTCCGGGCTGTCTCGTCGGGCTGTCCGCTCCTGACATAGCAAGTGTTATGGATTTTTGCCTCAGTCTTCTTGTGATGGTTCCATGACTGTACCAAATTTTTATTTGTTTAATAAATGTAAAATAAAATACTTTTATCATTTAACCGGACTGAAAATAGGTCAATAACATTGGATACCTCAGAAAAGACAAAAACGAAATTAAATTGGAAGAAAAGAAAAACGGCATTCAAAGCTAAAAAGTTTTTAAATTTATGTAAAAAATCAGATTAATGTTATTTACGTCTGGTATTGTTAGCTGCAGTTAGTGCTTCAAGTTTATTTACTGGAGCTTAGCAACGGGGAAAACCCAACCTAAGTCTACGTCAACTTGTAAGATTTATGTGGTTTCACTTAACTATTTAAAGTAACCTTACCCTTCGTCATTCATTTTGATGTTGCCCCTTCATTGTTTGTTGAATGAGCAGATTAGCAGCCCATTTCTTGGTGCTCTTGTAGATCTGATATTCATAATCCAAGATATCGCTTTCAAATCGCAAGCGATATTATGTTTTCTCTTGATGAGAGCAACTACCCCAACTGGTCGCAAATGTACCCTCCTGAATCATTGCATATCGTAAGCGGCGAGTGATGCTCCGGAACTGCAGTCTTACTTTCTTACATTTTGCTTGGCAAATCTTTGCTGGTTTTTTTTCTACAAATAGACAATCACTGCATCAATACATGCATTATACCAAAGTGCTTTGTTTGTGACCGTTGGCCTGAATCCTATCCAAACCCGTATAAAGGTAGCTTCGATACTTCAGGCACCAAAACAGTCCGGATGGGCATTGACTCTGGCCATCTCTCTTTCTTTGGCTATAAAATCAATCCATTGAGAGACAACTTCTTACACATAATTTTCGCATAATTTAAAAACTGTATAGTACCTGCAGTCGCAAAAGAGAAAAAACTGGTTACATTTACATTACTTAGTGCAGGTAAAAACTGAATAGCAAACCGTTCGTCTAATCTCAAAACCGAAGATTTGAGTTCAGCTACCTCATTGAAGACAGTCCTTACCATATCGTCGCTTGTGGATATTGACATCATGTTGCTGCGTGAATTTTTATTCATCTTAAGAAGTTTAACGTTCAAATTAAACGGACAAACAGAATACAATGATAAATTATGGATAAACTAGTAAAAATAAACAATTAGCCATTTACATTTATGCAAATGTTATAATATACTAATTTCATACATGATCTGGCACAAGCCAGCAATTTTTTATTTAAGTAATTTATAGAAACCTGCTAACTTCAACTCTTTCATAAAATTTCCCTTCTACCATGCAAAGCCAATTCAAACGTACATAGCTTTCAGTTCCTATTGCGTGCGACCAATGCATTCAAGAGTTCGACAAACCGTACTAATCTTCGTAATGATACGCTTATTCATGCTGTTCATATCGAGCACAGAGTTGCTGTTTGGAACAAAGAAATCAATATGGTCGATAATGTGGAGACAGCCACAGTGTCACCCTCGGCCAATGCCACCCAATCCAGTATGACAGTTGTGATACAATGAACATACTCGAAATCGAAAAACTAATTTTGAACCTTATTTCCGGATTTGTTTGATCCTGAGAAGCAGAGAACATTCAAGGCCTTTTGAAATTTTAGCGCTGGTGATGAAGGACACGTTTATGATGAAGCTTCTATCCAAAAGCAGATGTTTACTACGTCCCAGCTATCGCGTATCGAGTTGTATGATATCGTCACATCCTTCCAAGTCTTTTCTGAATGCCATCGTCCAATTGTGGGCCTAATGAGTACTGTTATCAGAGATCATGAAACATTTGCCGAAGTTATAGTGTTTCATATACATCCATATACATGCATACAAACAGTACTAGTTATTCCATTAAACACAGAATGTAACAGCCATATTTGTATGCCGGTCCTGTGCCTACATTTCGAAAGGAAGGAACAATCAAGGCTCATGAGTATGATAATTGCAAATATTTTTGTCAGCTCTTTGATATTACCAAATATGAAAAGGTTTGCTCTGAATGTAAAAACAGAATAGATATAGAAGGGAGGTTCCTGATTCCATGCTAATTCCATTCCAAAAAATGAACATGATGTCCATTGGTGATCAGCTGTCTAAGCTGTTAAGTCATGAGGAAACACGACAAAAGTTACGCTACCTTCATGATCGCAAGGAAAATCCAGGAATCAATTCTGATTACTTTGATGGCGACGACTACAAGGCTTTAAAAGCTGCCAACATTTTTCAGTCTCCCAACGATATTACTCTGGTACTCTTGGTCGCTGGATATGGCAATCAGAAAAAATCGAAGCAAGCAATGACAATTGTGCATGTACTCATAGTTAATTTTGACCCATCTATAAGGTATGGTTAGCTTTACGTTTTCAGAAACTATAACTGACATAAACAATGGGTATACAGACCAGTACACGTTTCAACTTGTCATTATTGCTGGTAAGTATAAGGACTTAGATTCCTTTCTCTTACTAATTGTTGATGAGATAAAAAGCCTTGGTGAACATGGGTTGATTGTCGAAAGATGGAATGGTGAGAGGGTAAAAGCTAAAGTGCATTTGGTCATGGGCACCGGGGAGATCCCTCAGGTAAGAGTTTCGCGACTTTTTTTTTTTCATGTAAAAATTTCGTGTTTTCGATTGGCTTATTTAAAAGTCCGAATATTCAAAAAAATGTGTCAATCCGGCAGGGGATGACTGAAGATGGTCAAGAAAAAGAAAAAAAGAAATTCCTTAACATTGGTCGGTTTACATATACCCGTTTCCTGGAAATTGGTGAAAAAACACTGGTGCGCATATCAATCACTAATTCCTGAAGCTGAAAGAAAAAAATATTCAAATGGCTCTAACTTTTGAAAAAACTTTAGTTTTAAAAGTTCGTGTGCATTGAGGATCGTATTTCGTAAGAGTTTATAAATAATACTGTACTTCTTTTTTCCCACCAAAACATAAAAGTGAGTAGAGATCTAATACGAGACATCATTGGATCCCAAAAAAAATCGGAGAACTTATGCGGATTTTATAAAAAATGCCGCACCTTGGTCCATAGTGGTGGAAAAAGTGATGACACCCAGAAAAAACCGCAACCATTCTGTATTCCAGCAAAAGCCCCGACACCTGTCATCTTTGGGGACCACCCCAAATGGCACTTGGTAACGAAATACCCGAACCAAGCGAGCAACATGGAGTCCAAAATGTTTTGTTTGGCTTCATGTATGTGGAAATCGGTGTAGTTTTATAAAATAAAAACAAGAAAATTATCAAACTTGCAAAAATTAAATAAGGCTTTATTAAACAAATAAAAGGAGGTCTTTATATACACATTATTTCAAACATTGATCACAGATGGGCTGATGACGGTCGTGGGTAGATTCATCCAGATAATACTCGGATGTAATGATCCCATATGGAAAGACCAAAATGAGATGTCAATAACATTAACAATAATATTCATTCTTAAACTGTGTATGTCTTGTAGCACAATATTCAGAGGAAAATGTAGTTCTTAATTCAGATAGATGTGGTATCTCAATGTGGCTGATGTAACCTTCATATGTTTTCATGTCAATGTTATTATTTAAATGTATGTCTTATACTTGTATGAAGGATGATATAAAATCAAGCCTGTACATAAAGTAAATGATCAGTATTTAATATAACAGTATAAATAAGAATTATATTTAGGATTATCAAATGGAAGATTTAAGAAGTTTAGGTAGAGTCATATCTTAAGTATATAGCCTCGATCACGACAATGTACACCCTCGAGGATCATCCCAAAAAATGACCTTTGGCGAGAAGAGAAAACAATTACATAGTAACAATAAAAATGCATAGTTGGTACAAGTAAGGCAAAATATTGCACGAAAAGTCTAACTTATGGAACTCAAAACAAAGACAATAAAAAATTAAGCGTATCCCATCCCCCCCCCCACTCACTTATTCCCAAGATTGTCCCCAATAAATAAATACTTTTTAATTAATTATTATAAAAATTCTTTGCAGAATCCGATTCGTTTTTGTCTTGACCGTCATCTCCTAAAATATGGGCCTCCTTCTGAGCGCCGTCGGTAGTATCTTCAGATACATCCCCTTCTTTTTTGTTATCTCCCTCTCGTGAACTAACATTGTCATCTTCATCATCGTCGTCATCGATAACAATTGTGTTCTCTCGAATCACACGTTCTTCTTCCGTTTCAAACATAAGATCAATTTGATCTCGAACGTATGGATCCTTCGGAATGTTGATTTCAACAGGGAAGATCACATTAAATCTAATGATAAGATTACCCTTGTTGCCATCCGTATCAGAGAATACGGGCATACCTTCATCTTTCTTAATCATGGCCAATCCGGGTGTGATCACTGTTCCGGGTGCTTGCTGAATGTTCAATAGGCGGCCATCCATATGCTTAAAAACATTTCCCTTTCGATTTACTCCCATTAGAGCATCTCGAAGTTTGATGTCCACGGAAGCAAATAAGGTATTTTTGTGACGTGTGAAACAGCCCCATTTATTATCGACAGTCACCTGAATAAACAAATTGCCCCTTGTGACGTTGTCGGGCAAGAAATTGCCATAGTTCTTCATTCGGATCATGTGGCCGGATTCGATGCCTTTTGCAATGGGAATCAGCACACTTACACGAGTCATTTTTGCGCCAAGACAGGTCTGACATTTCTTTTTGTAAGTTTTAACACCTACTCCATCACAGCTAGAGCACGTAACAGATGCTTTCTTTTTTTTGTCACTCAACCGGGTCTGGACATATCCACTACCATTGCAAGTAACACAAGCCTCAGAAAAGAGAGCAGTATCCACATTACTATTATTTTGAAATTATTATCATGCTAGTTTTTTTTTACATCTTTTTGCTTACCCATGACATTTTTGGCAGTTCACCTTCAAGTTGTAGTAAACCTTGAAATCTCTCACACCGAGATAAGCTTCTTTTAAGGAAACTACCGCAGTCGTAAGGATGTGGTAGTCGTCGCCTATAAAATTTTTTTAGCGGGGATTCAACATTTTATATCAATAACGCCTTACGATTAGGTGGTGGTGGTGGAGGACTGAATGGTCGTGGTGGAGTTGATGGAGTTGGTGGAGTTGGAGGAGCTGGTGGCGTTGGCGTTCTGCGTCCTGGTCTTGACGTAGAAGGTCGATTGCTTGCATAAAAGCTTTCGAAGTCGAAATCCGTACCGCGTTTTCTCTTCAAATCGTAAACCCTTTTTTTGTTGGGATCAGATAAAATCTCATACGCGTTTAAAATTTCCTTGAACTACGGCAAGTTAATGTCATGAAATGAGACAGATAAAAAAAAAACGTTTACCTTTTCGGTTCCATTAGGATTTTTATCCGGGTGATACGTTTTGGCCTATAAACAAGTTAGCTACGAAGTCGGCTTATTTGAATGAAAATGTACTTACCAATTTTTAATAAGCCTGTAATGAAGAAAAGAAAAATAAATGAGTTACATTGTTAAAAAAAAAATGTAAGACGCGTTTATACCTTGCGAATTTCAGAGGAAGTTGCGTTTTCAGTAACTCCTAATGTCTTATAATATGAATCTGTCATTATAATTTTTTCTCCTGTGTATGAATGAATAAAAAAAGAAAAAAGAGAATGTCTACACCTACGTCTTTTTTTTTTTAAGTACTTTTTTTAAATCACGTGATTTTTTTTTAAAAAAATAACGCGTCACCTACGTACTTTTTTTTTTTTTTTTTTTTTTTTTTAGTGACGTTTTTCCATAAATAAAACTTTTATAGTGTATATTACTACTTCTAAACTGAGGATTACTGCTTTTAAAAATACAACCTTTCCTACCGTAGATGATAACTTTGCCTATGCCGAGAAGTTTAAAGACGCCTGTTTTGATGCTGCAGCCGACAAAGGTTTTCAGCTTTTTATCTGGGACAGTTAACCCATTAGGCATGCTAAAAATTCCGCCTTTTTCCATTACGTCTGTGTACTCAGCCACAAGTACAAGGCCATTCGTATCCAGAACTCCTGAAAAAGAGTTAAAGTTACAATGAGAGGAACCTGAGAATTTTTTATCGGAGCAGTTTTTGTCATGATCGTGTCACTTAGATGCATTAATCTTGGTTATTCTTTGTCAGCCCCTTGTCATCTATGTGTCAACCATCAATCATCCAATATCTCTCATACATAAGTAATGACTTACTAAACTTTGCCATTGCTTGTTTTTATAATAAATAACTATACAATCCTCAACTATAAACATAGCCTAACTTTCCCTCTTCTTTTTTCTCCTTCATCAGATATATTATCTAATAACACTCTCTTTTCTTTTCCTCTTTCTTTTTTTTACCCCTTATAATAAATATAATAATTATCATTTATTTTTCTGTTCTTGTAAGCAAGTTTTCTCCCGTCTGTCCTGTCGGGCTGTCCGCTCCTTACATAGCAAGTGTTATGGATTTTTGCCTCAGTCTTCTTGTGATGGTGGCGTGACTGTACAAACAATTTTTATTTGTTTAAGAAATGTAAAATAAAATAGCATACCAATTAACTGAACAGGAAATAGGTCAATATCATTGCATACCTCAGAAAAGTCAAAAAGAAAAGAAAATACGAGGAAAAGAAAAAGAGAAATTAAAGCTAAAAAGTATTTATATTTGTTTAAAAAATCAGAGGAATGTTATGTACTCTGGTATTGCTAGCTGTAGTTAGTGCTTCAAATTGTATTACTGGAGCCTCTACAGCGGGGGAAACACGAACCTAATTTTATGTTAGTTTGTGAGATTTATACCATTTCAAGTAACTATTGAAAGAAACCTTACGCTTCGTCTTTCACCTTGACGTTGCCCCTTCAGTGTGTGTTGAATGAGCAGATTAGCTGCCAGTTGTGTGTTGCACTTGTAGATATGGTGCCATAATCCAACATATCGCTTTCAAGTCTCAAGGCATAGCATGTTTTCTCTTGATGAGACAGATTACCCTAACTGATGGAAACTGTACCCTCCTAAATCATTGCATATCGTAAGCGGCGAGTAATACTCCTACTGTAACCTAGCAACGCTATAGCCATATTCGAGCTAACAAAAGTTTATCCGTGCTGATGCCATTAGTGATATAAGCTTAAAAAATGTCATAGTAAGAACTACAAAGATATAACATGGAAAGTCTAATTTAGTACGTCTGAGAAATACTTCAAATTTAATTTAAAACAAGGAGAGTTAAGAAGACTCCACAGTTATTCGAACAAGAATAAATTAGTGACTATGTAATAATCGTCAACATTTTTGGTTAATCAATGATAGCTTCAAGATAGCTCTACAGATGTGAACACAGCAGACAGTAATTTAGATAAATACTCGTACATTTCATTTATTTGTAAAGGACTTCTTATAACCAGTCTCAAACTACTCCGATGGTCGTTTTGTAATTAAACTTTAGCTTGAAACACAACATCTCGGAAATAACTGTTCAAGTTCCTTAAACTTTGCGTGACCCATATCTGGGGAAGAGTTGCTGGGTTTTTTTGTCCACAGATAGACGATCAATGAATCCATACATGCGTTAGCGCAGAGTCGTTTGTTTGCTGGCGTTGGCTGAAACCCTATCCTAGCCCTTGGCAAGGTAGCTACGATACTTCAAGCACCAAAACAGTCCGGATGGGCATTGACTCGGGCCATCTCTGTTTCCTTGGCTACAAAGTCATGCCCTTGATAGACAACTTGTTACACAAAACTATCACATGATTTGAAAACAGTATAGTACCTGAAGTATCAAAGGCGAAAAAACTGGTTACATTTTTGTTACTTGGTGCAGGTGAAAACTTCATAGCAAACCGCTCGTCTAATTTCAAAACCACTGAATTCAGCTCAGTTACCTCATTGAAGACCGCCCTAAACATATCGTCGCTTGTGGATGTTGACATTATGTTGCTGCCAGCATTTTTATTCATCTTAAGAAGTTCAATGTTCAAATTAAACGGACAAATAGAATACAATGATAAACTATGGATAAACCAGTAAAAATAAACAATTGGCCATATACATTTATGCAAATGTTATAATATACTAATTTCATACATGGTCTGGCACAAGCCAGCAATTTTTTATATAAGTAATTTATAGAAACCTGCTGACTTCTACTCTTTCATAAAATTTCTCTTCTACCATGCAAAGCCAATTCAAACGTACAAAGCTTTCCGTTCCTATTGCGTGCGACCAATGCATTCAAAAGTTCGACAACCCGTATTAATCTTCGTAATGATAAGCTTATTCATGCTGTTCATATCGAGCACAGAGTTACTGTTTGGAACAAAGAAATCAATATGGTCGATAATGTGGAGACAACCACAGTGTCACCCTCGGCCAATGCCACCCAATCCAGTATGACAGTTGTGATAAAATGAACATACTCAAAATCGAAAAACTAATTTTGAACCTTATTTCCGGATTTGTTTGATCCTGAGTAGCAGAGAACATTCGAGGGCTTTTGCAATTTTAGCTCTGATGATAAAGGACACCTTTATGATGAAGTTTTTTTCCAAGAGCACGCGTCTACCACATCACAGATAATTAGTATCGAGTTGTATGATATCGTCACATCCTTCCAAGTCTTTTCTGAATGCGATCGTCATATTGTGCGTCTTATGAACACTGTTATTAGAGATCATGAAAGATTTGCCGAACGTAGAGCGTTTCTTATACATCCACATACATACATACAAACAGTACTGAATATTCCATTAAATACAGAATATCACCCCCATATTTATCATGCCGGTCCTGTGGCTACTCGTCTAAAGGAAAGAACAATCAAAGCTAATGAGTGTGATTATTGCAAAAATGTTTGTCAGCTCTTTGATATTACCACAGATGAAAACGTTTGCTTTGGATGTAAAGAAAATAGATATCAAAGCGAGGTTCCTGATTCCGTGTTAATTCCATTCCTAAAAATGAAGATGATGTCCATTGGTGATCAGATGTCCAAGCTGTCAAGTCATGAGGAAACACGACAAAAGTTACGCTACGTTCATGAATGCAATGAAAATCCAGGAATCATTTCTGATTAACTTGATGGCTAGGACTACAAGGCTTTCAAAGCTGGCCAACCTTTTCAAGTCTCCCAACGATATTGCTCTGGTACTCATGGAAGCTGGTTTTGTCAATCAGAAAAAATCGAATCTTGAAATGACCATTTTGCATGTACTTGCCCTTAATTTTGCCCCATCTATTAGGTAAGGTTAGCTTTACGTTTTCAGAAACTATAACAGACATAAACAATGGATGTACAGATCAGTACACATTTCAACTTGTCATTATTGCTGGTAAACCTAAGCACTTAGATTCCTTCCTCTTACTAATTGTTCATGAGATAAAAAGCCTTAGTGAACATGGGTTGATTGTCGAAAGATGGAATGGTGAGAGAGTAAAAGCTGAAGTGCATTTGGTCATGGCTACTGGGGACAACCCTCAGGTAAGAGCTTCGCGACTCTTTTTTTTCATGTTAAAATTTTGTTTTTTCGATTGGCTTATTTAAAAGTCCGAATATCCAAAAAAATGTGTAAATCCGGCAGGGGAGGTCTGAAGATGGTCAAGAAAAATAATAAAAGAAGTTCCTTAACATTGGTCGGTTTACATATACCTGGTTCCTGAAAATTGGTGAAAAAACACTGGTATGCATATCAATCACTAATTCCTGAAGCTGAAAGAAAAAAATATTCAAATGGCTCTAACTTTTGAAAAATTCAAAAAAAAAACTTTAGTTTTAAAAGTTCGTGTGCATTGAGGACGGAATTTCGTAAGAGTTTATAAATAAAACTGTGTCTTTTTTGGAACTTCTTTTTTCCCACCAAAACATAAAAGTGAATACAGATCCAATACGAGATATCATTGGATCCCAAAAAAAAAATCGGAGAATTTATGCAGATTTTGTAACAAATGCCATACCTTGGTCCATAGTGGTGGAAAAATTAATGTCACCCAGAACAAACCGCAAACATCCAGTATTCCAGCAAAAGCCTCGAAACCTGTCATCTACGGGGACGACCCCAAATATCACTTCGTAACGATAAACCCGAACAAAGCCACCAACCTGGAGCCCACGAGGTCTTGTGTGGATCTATGTACACCATCGTGAATCAACCCAACAATCACCTTTCGCACAAAGAGAAAAAAATTACGTAGTAACAATAAAAATTCATAGCTGGTTCAAGTAAGGCAAAATAGTGAACGAAAAGTGTCACATATGAATCTCAAAACAAAGACAATGAAAAATTAAGCGTATCCCATTCCCCCCACTCACTTATTCCCAAGACTGTCCCCAACAAATAAATAATTTTTTATTAATCGTCATAAGAATCCTTTGCAGAATCTGATACGTGATTACTTTCAACATCGTCTTCTAAATTATGGGCCTCCTTCTGTGCGCCATCGGTAGTATCTACAGACACATCCCCTTCTTCATTGTTATCTCCTTTTCGAGAACTAACATTCTCATCTTCTTCTTCATCTTCTTCAACAATAATCGTGTTCTTTCGGATTTCACGTTCTTCCTCCGTTTCAAACATCAGATCAATTTCGTCCCGAGCGTATGGATCCGTGGGAATATTTATCTGAACAGGGAAGATCACATTGAATTTAATGATAAGATGACCCTTTTTGTCATCTGTATCGCAGAATACGGGCATACCTTCATCTTTCTGGATTATGACCATGCCGGGTGTGATTACTGTTCCGGGTGCTTGCTGAATGTTCAATCGGCGGTCATCCATATGTTTGACGAAATTGCCCTTTCGATTTACTCCCATGAGAGCATCTCGTAGTTTGATGTCCACGGAAGCAAGTAAGGTATTTTTGTGACGCGTGAAACAGCCCCAATGATCATCGACAGTCACCTTAATTAACAAGTCGCCCTTTGTGACGTTGTCTGGCATGACATTCCCATAGTTCTTCATTCTGATTGTGTGGCCGGAATGGATGCCCTTTGCAATTGGAATCAGCACACTTACACGAGTTGCTTTGGCCCCAAGACAGGTCTGGCATTTCTTTTTATACGTTTTTACACCTGCTCCGTCACATCCAGAGCACGTAACAGATGCTTTCTTTCTGCTATCACTTAAGCGTGTTTGGACATATCCAGATCCATTGCAAGTCACACAAGCCTCGGAAAAGAGAGCAGTATTCTCAATACTATTATTTTAAAATTATTATCGTTTTAGTTTGTTTTTATGTCTTTTTGCTTACCCATGACATGTTTGGCAATTCACTTTCAGGTTGTAGTAAACCTTGAAGTCGCTTACGCCGAGATAAGCTTCTTTTAAGGAAACTACCGCAGTAGTAAGGATGTCGTAGTCTGCGCCTATAAAAATTTTTTTAGCGGAGTCTGAACAATCTATATCAACAACGCCTTACGATTAAGAGGTGGGGGTGGAGGACTGGATGGTCTTGGTGGAGTTGGTGGACTGGGTGGAGCTGGTGGGGTTCGCGTTCTCGGTCCTGGTCTTGAGGTAGAAGTACGATTACTTGCATAAAAGTCCTCAAAGTCGAAATTCGCTGCCCGTTTTCGCTTCAAATCATAAGCCCTTTTTTTGTCGGTATCAGATAAAATCTCATACGCGTTTAAAATTTCCTTGAACTACGGCAAGTTAATGTCATGAAGTGAGACAGATAAAAAAAAAAGTTTTACCTTTTCGGTTCCATTTGGGTTCTTATCAGGGTGATAAGTTTGGGCCTATAAACAAGTAAGCTATGCAGTCAGTTTATTTGAATAAAAATGTACTTACCAATTTGTAATAAGCCTATGATTAAGAAAAGAAAAATAAATGAGTTACATTGACAAAAAAATTGTTAAGACGCGTTCATACCTTACGAATTTCAGAGGAAGTTGCTTTTTCAGTAACTCCTAACGTCGTATAATGTGAGTCTGTCATTATAATTCTGTTCGTTGTGTATGAAAGAATAAAAAAAAGAGAATTTCGACACGAACGTCTTTTTTTTTTCTTTATGTACTTTTTTTAAATCACGGGATTTTTTTTAAAAAAAAAATAACAGGTCACATACGCACTTTTTTTTCTTTTGGTTTTGCCTTAAATATAATTATTAAAATGACGATTACTACTTTTAAAACTACAACTTTTCCTACCGTAGGTGATATCTTGGCCTCTGCCAAGGAATTTAAAGACGCATGTTTTGATGCTGCAGCCAACCAAGGTTTTCAGCTATTCATCCGGGACAGTTCACCCATTGGGCATGATTAAAAGTCATCCTTTTTTCCATTACGTCTGTGTATTCAGCATCAAGTACAAGGCCGTTCGTACCGAGAACTTTCGCAAAAGAGTTAAAGTTACAGTGACTGCAACCTGTGAATTGTTACCGTACGCTTACTGCTGAGACTCCTTTGATCCAATCAAATCCTTCTATTTTGAATTAACGGAGTTGTATTGGGCGAATCAAATTATAGGATTTGAGGTAACTAATATTAAATAAACTGATTTTATTTCTTTTGTTTCCTTTTTTGAAGTTTCAAATTGTTCCGGACACAATTTAAAAGAACATTGTGAATAATCTCAACCCCAGCTACCTATAATGTCGAAAAAACAGGAGGGGAAGGAAGTTTACCGAGATTTAAACAGAGACATGGTGGTCCATTAGGTGGAAAGACTGAAAAAAAGCCGGAAGTTGTTTACGAAGGACCAAGAAAGCAAATCAAGAACCCATCATCAGTGTTGAATTTTACAATGCAGGCGAAAGCAGTAAGACGACGTTCTTAATTTTTATAAAAGCTTTACTGTTGAGTCATTCATATCTTTTTTTTTAGTCTTCGAACACTATTCACAACAAGCACGAACACTAACAAACGAATGTTGAAGAGATTGTCGACAATAATGTTGAGACAACAGTCGATGAATCTGTACCTGAAGAGGGTTTCAGTTATTCTGTAGTAGTTGAGCTTTACAGAAATCATTCCCCTTTAGTCGACCAAGAAAAGATGGTTACCACTGAAGTTTCAACTTTTGAAAATAGTGTTGACAATGAGAACGAAGACGAAGTTTATATTGATAAATTTCTCAACATCGAATTCCAAACTGCGGATTTGTTGGATGAAGATAATAGAAATGATAATGAGTGGGGAACAGACGATGAAATCCATAAAGACGAACTAGACGAAAACGAATTCATCACTGTTGATAATGATGCAGCTTCTATTCTTGAAGAAAGCTACGTCAATAAGTATCTTGTTGAGTTACAGGAGAGATTGAAGTGGAAAAGACCAGAAGAGTATCAGAATGGGACTTTTTGGGTTCACCGAAAGAATCCATACTTTATGCTTGATGATACTAACAAAGACCCGGGATACCTCTATACATCTTGAATGCTTTTATGGTTCCCTCATCATTTAGTAAAAGATTTAACCTGTCCGACTTGTGAATCAAAAATAGGTGTGAAGGGATTCAATAAAAAGCGTAGAGCTAGGAGGATTATGGATTTAAATGAGTTCGATCTTAAATGAGAAGTTTGTTTTTATGTCATTTATAATATGTTAAATACTTTTTACCTATTTTTACCTGATGACTACAAAATACAAGTGTTTCAACAAAGATGTTAAGCACACATTTGATAAGTGTAACTCATGTTTGATCCGACAACTTCCACCTCATTTACAAGCTGAAATTCCAGCTGTTCTTAGTCATCGATCTGGCCTTTCTAAAATGCTTTGCAAACTGATGAGACCACTCTTTCAACATGGGATCGGACCTCATCGTATGTCTAAAACCTGTTGCAGCTTCAACACTACACAACCCTCTATCATGATGCCCAAAGTCCTTCCGTATTATCTATGCTCCAGTGTAGACAATATACTGAGTTTGCTCAATTTAAAGTCAAGATGAAATATACTAGTTATGTTCCTTCTGCTAATTACATTAGCTATGTATACAGCTCCTTGATAGCGAAGGTTCGTCCTTTTATGGATCAACTTATGTCGTTTGTAGACGGCACTGTTTTAAAAGGAGAACATTATTTCAAGTGTTGCGGGGATAATAACTTTGATAGTAGATGTAGCTAGATTCCTGAATTAAAATTGAAATGAACTTATAGTTGTAACAAAAGATGCAAAAATTTTAATATAAGGAGCCAATAAAAAGGGTCCTTATTGTATCTCTCGTTACGGCTTTTATGCAAAATCAATGGTGTAACACCCAAATACACTCAACTCTGATCCCAGTGACACGAGATCATTGAACACTTGGCAAAAATCAATGGGGTTTCGACGTTTTCTTGCCTCTACACTATTTTAAATGAACATGAAGAGATCCATTTACAAGTCTTGGCACAAAGCAAAAAAATGGATCATCTAGCACCCCAATTTCTCCAGATGATGGATACTTACAAAAAGCTTAATATGAAAGAGCCTGAGCTTTTTTATACAGATAATGTCACTGCAGACCAAGCATTCTTAAAACAGGTGATGCCATCCTTAACCAAAGACGTTGTACCTATTCCCAAATGTACAAATGGACAACAGCAACCACAACAAAACCCTTTTCTTTGACGTCCTATTATTACCCTGCCAGAAACTTCAAAGATCCGAGTTTTAAGATCTGAAGTAGAGATCAATGAGGGTTGTATCAAAATATTTGGAAATACTGATGAGTATAGTAATGAAAGTTTTGTTGGTTTTGATTGTGAATGGATGATGTCCACAAGTGGAGTATTCTTAATGCAGATGTGCTACCAAAATAAAATTGTTTGGTTCCGTGTACATGACTTTGATACGAATACGTTTTCTCGTGAGCTATCTAAGGTTCTTAGCTGTTCCCAGATTGTGAAATTAGGGAGAAATATTAAGGCAGACTGTACAAGAGTGAAGCGTGTTTTAAGTGTTGTGGTATCAAACCACGTAGATCTTGGGCCATTTTGCTACAACCGCGACTTAGTTAATAACTCTCGTCCCCGACTTGATGTTCTTTGTCGAAGCATTTTATCTTTGCAACTACCTAAGATGTCTATCATTCGTTGTGGTTATTGGGAAAGAGATGATTTGACATTCGATCAAATAAGCTATGCCGCATTAGATGCTTGGGTCGCTTTAAAGATTTTTGAAAAGGCTAACGAAGAACCAGCTGTAGACGAAAAGGTTACAAAAAGGTACTTTTGTTGCAGTTTATAATCAAACATTCGCAAGAGTGATTCCTTCTGCCTATGTGTGGTGATCCACCTACTGTTGTTACTAATCACACCATAAAACAATATTAAAATTAAATCTCACTTCATCACCCCATACGTTATTACATCACAACACGAACTAATTTCTTATACATTATATCATATCCAACTACAAGCACTATTTTAGTGCTGTGTAACTTATCTATCAAACTAAATTCATAATCCGATTTCTCTTAACATATATAAATATGCAAACTGATAGTTAGAATAGAACCCGCTCAATCTTTGAATCTACTTTTACTCAATAAAACTTATAAGCAGTCTCAAAGTATTTTATTGTTTTTCTTTATCTATCTCTATCCTCAACTATCACACTATGGATTCATTGAGGATAATGAAGAATCCATTGAAGCTCATCTAAAAGATACCAGGCTTGTAAAGGTGGATATTGTTCAAGTGCTTTCTATGCTTCTTGAAAGTCATCAAGAAAACGGCAATCCTGAAGCAAGAACTTTAAGTGATTCGCTTGATCCTCCTTTTGTATTAAGAATCAGCAACCACTGTTTGAGAACGGCTTCAAAAAAACAATACGACCTTAAAAGGCAGCAAGATTTGTCAAAATTATCTCCTATTCCCTCAGAGTCAGACACCATCCATCCGAATACGTCTCTTGACTCAGGGAATGTACATGTACCATCAAGAATCCTGAAAGATGTTATTCATGTGATGCAAATGATAAGTTTTTCCTTAAAACATGGGATGGCCAAAGTGTTTTCTCGTCGCTTCATAGATGCTATGTTTGTTGTTGATCTTGGTGATAAAAGATTAGTGAGCCAATATCTTGAATCAATAGGAACTGATTGGGAGAGCTATATGGTGAAAAAACCGGACTTTGTTTTGGAGCGTGTACGAAGATATATACCACCACCCGAAGAGTTGTATAAATCTGTCTCAATGCGTTTCATGCATTACGGTCCTGCAAAGTGCGTATTGAGCGGGAAGCCTTTGTTCAATGAAGACACATGGAGTGCTTCTAAGCATGTTTTGGAGGAGATAAGACTTGGTCACGTTTCAGACGTATTAAATGGTCCCGTATTATATGCAGAAAAGGGGTTCGACAAGAATGGATTGATGAAGTATAGGTGTAGCAGAGGTACTAGTTCTGTAGAAGGGCTCTGTACATATGAACATCATAAGAAAATTTGCATCATACAACGCAGGTCCTGGTTTAGCTGATATGGTTCTTGCTGACTATCATCTTTATCACAACACCGATGTAAAAGAATTTCAGAGTATACTTATATATAAGCTCAATTGACCTAATACGTATTACACTAAATTACAATTTATGAATTTTTAGGTTGGCTCAAGACATCGCTACGGAAAAGTGCATAAAGGTCATTACAGTCCCTGGTTATATCAATCAATCAATACTATTAGAATCAAGCTGGGTCATATACCTATTGACAGCTACTTTACGAATAGACTCGGTAGTATTTTTTAATATGAGCAAACACAAGAGACGTATGGTATTACATCATTACCAAATGAAGTAATGCGAGAAAACAATATATCACCAGCCATAAACCATTTAAGGAACCAAACGTTTTCAAAAGCCAAGTTGCTGGAACTCAGTCTCCTCACGGTTGTGAAGCTTGACATTGTTGGATGCTCTGTCAAACACTTTGTGTACAACGTTCTAGCAATCTGCCAAAAGACAAAGTTACCTGTCACTGCGGTACACACTGATCAAGAGGTTAAGCTACACGAAGTTTATGGAAAACCCTGAAAAGCGACGTTCCATAGGCCTCACATCTGGAAAACCAACATCAAATTTTGCATGCTTTGCTAAATTATGGTCAGGTTATTGTAAGGAAGGAAGTAATATATATTACAAAACTTCTAGACATCTTGAACCGTACTACAATGTATTAGGTGATCGACAAAAGTACTGTCATACTGTAGTATTGAATATCGATACAGTACGTCTGGTAAGGTCTGCTTTGACCTCGGAAAGTAGATCCACTGTTTCTATTCCAGCCCATGTACAAATGACAGCTAATCAAGCTATACAGAGGATGATTCAAAGTGAAACTGTGGTTTCATTACCTCCTCCACCTCCCTCCAGAGAGCAACATCAACCAATACGACTCAGAGCACTGCTTCCAGTACCTGTTATAGATCCAAGTATTTCATTTTCTTCAGTTAACGTACATCAACGAACACATAGAACATGTGCTGTTTGTACAATTGCTGGCTGCAAAAGCGCAAATGTGCATAGCCGTTGCTCAAACAAGCGTGGCGTTTGTACGCTTGTGAGCTGGAATGGGAGAAACAAAGGGCCTACCTGCCAACATCCCTCTTTTACATAATTTTAAACCTTAGCTCTCTGTATTTTTTCTCTATTAAAACTTGAAGTTTTATTGGCACTCGCTCAGTAAAAATGCCGTTTATTAATGTATTCCTGTAAAAATTTCAATGTCCTTTCGACACCGAGATTTTCAATAATTAATTTTTTTTTTTTTTTTGGAGAATTAATTTGAAATTCAAGATAGCCCCAGGCATGGTTTTAGGGCCATTATTCATAACATCACAGTTCTTTTAGTCTATTTTTAACTCTGATAAACATATACTTTTATCTCATTACTTTTTAATTGTACCAATTTTGTCAAATACCACAGATATAGGGCTAGTTAAGTTTTAGATGTAGAAAAGCGACAATTGTTATTAAATAGCAAATGTGAAATTAAGTACCAGACTTCAATCAATCAGCATAAGGTAACTATTGTTTATAAAGGAAGAAGTAGTAGAAGATGAAGAATAAAAGAAGGTTCTGAGAGTGATCTTAAAGGAGATACAAATCCAGTAGTATACAATAAACGAGTAAAGATTATAGTGCTTTTAGATGTAAAATTTAAATGTAAAAGAAAACCGACAGCAACGAAAATAGCAAACATTACTAGGTCACAATTATATGCAGGATCGTATCCTGTGTAAAACCAAACGATCTCTTGGTACATGGGCTACTTGAAGCACTTGTATGGGAAACTATTAAGGATTATTACTTTTCAGTTGCTCAGCTTAAATTGTGTGATTACCAGCAAGCTCCAGCTAATACATGGTGTCAAAAATCGTATTTACGCAAGGATACGCAACATCATAGGTGGGTACGATCAATATACAGGCAAAACCCCACACAAAATACGAGACATTTACAGTGAGGTAAAAATGAAAGGTTTAAAAAGGCATAAAAGGTAAAAAAAAAAAAAAAAAAAAAAAAAAAAAAAAAAAAAAAAAAAAAAAAAAAAAAAAAAAAAAAAAAAAAAGACATAAAAGATTAAAAAAAGGAAAATGTGTTTTTATTACTATAAAAAAATGGAGACTCGCTATCCAGTTTCAGCAAAGAAAAATGCCCAAGTGCAGCTGCGAGCAAGTCAGTCTCCGTGTGCACTCACCCACTTTTTATTAGTTTTGATTGCCCTAAAAAGTGCTTCCCTGTATCACCAAAAAGAGGTCAAAACACCATTTTCTCAACGTTGAAAACAGACCGATCACTAATGAGATGCCTATCAACTAGCCGATTATCGACTGATCAGACGAGGGACGCATTTCTTTCAACTCATGCAGCACAACCGGCAAGTAGAATGTTACTTCGGATAATTAAAGACAACTCTCGCTCTTATCCTAGGGCTCATGAAATATGCTCCTTAAGGTAAAGGTGTTGTTGAAAACGCTTTAGTAGCTTGTTAAATAACCACAAAGAGCTGCCACATACCACGTGGGAACGATGATGTTACCCAGAATAAACAACAAACATTCTGTATTCCAGCAAAAGTCTCGAAACCTGCCATCTTCGGGGGCACCCTGAATGGCACTTGGTAACGAAATACCCGAACTAAGCGAGCAGCATGGAGTCCAAAATGTTTTGTGTGGCGTCATGTATACCCTCGAGAATCACCCCAAAAAATGACCTCTGGCACGAAGAGAAAACAATTACGTAGTATCAATAAAAATGCAGAATTAGTACAAGTAAGGCAAGACAGTGAGCGAAAAGTCTGCAATAAGGAGCTCAAAAAAAAGACAATGAAACATTAATCGTATCCCATCCCCCCACACACTTATTCCCAAGATTGTCCCCAATAAATAAATAGTTTTTAATTAATTATCATAAGAATCCTTTGCAGAATTTGATACGTTTTTATCTTCATCGTCATCTCCTATAATATGGGCCTCCTTCTGAGCGCCGTCGGTAGTATCTTCAGACACGTCCCCTTCTTTCTTGTTCTCTCCCTCTCGTGAACTAACATTGTCATCTTGGTCATCGTCGTCTTCGATAACAATTGTGTTCTCTCGAATCACACGTTCTTCTTCTGTTTCAAACATAAGATCAATTCCATCTCGAACGTATGGATCCTTGGGAATGTTGATTTGGTCAGGGAAGATCACATTAAATTTAACGATAAGATCACCCTTGTTGTCACTCGTATCATTGTATACGGGCATACCTTCACCTTTCTGAATGATAGTCATACCAGGTTTGATTACTGTGCCGGTGGCTTGTTGGATCTTTAACCGGCGGCCATCCATATGCTTAATAAAATTTCCCTTTCGATTAACTCCCATTAGAGCATCTCGTAGTTTGATGTCCACGGAAGCATGTAAGGTACTTTTTTGACGCGTGAAACAGCCCCATTCATCATCGACAGTCACCTTAATAATCAAGTCGCCCTTTGTGACGTTGTCGGGCATAACATTGCCATGGTTCTTTACTTGGAACGTGTGGCCGGATTGGATGCCTTTTTTAATCGGAATCAGCACACTTACACGAGTAGCTTTTGCGCCAAGACATGTCTGACATTTTTTTTTGTAAGTTTTTACACGTACTCCATCACAGTTAGAGCACGTAACAGATGCTTTCTTTCTGTTGTCACTCAATCGGGTCTGGACATATCCATTACCATTGCAAGTAACACAAGCCTCAGAAAAGAGAGTAGTATCATCATTACTATTATTTTATAATTATTATCATGCTAGTTTTTTTTTTTTTACATCTTTTTGCTTACCCATGACATGTTTGGCAGTTCACCTTCAGGTTGTAGTAAACCTTGAAAGCACTCACGCCGATATATGCTTCTTTTAAAGAAACTACCGCTGTGGTACGGATGTGGTAGTCTGCGCCTATAAAAAAAATGTTAGCGGAGTTTCAACATTTTATATCAACAACGCCTTACGATTAGGTGGTGGTGGAGGAGGACTGAATGGTCGTGGTGGAGTTTGTGGGGCTGGTGGAGTTGGAGGAGCCGGTGGAGTTGGTGCTCTACGGCCTGGTCTTGAGGAAGAAGGTCGATTGCTTGCGTAAAAGCTTTCGAAGTCGAAATTCGTCTCGCGTTTTCTTTTCAAATCATAAACCCTTTTTTTGTCGGGATCAGATAAATTCTCATACGCGTTGGAAATTTCTTTGAACTACGGCAAGTTAATATCACGAACTGAGACAGACAAAAAAAAAAAAGTTTTACCTTTTCGGTTCCATTGGGGTTCTTATCAGGGTGATAAGTTTGGGCCTATAAATAAGTTAGCTACGCAGTCAGTTTATTTGAATGAAAATGTACTTACCAATTTGTAATAAGCCTGTAACGAAGAAAAGAAAAATAAATGAGTTACATTGACGAAAAAAAATATTAAGACGCGTTCATACCTTACGAATTTCAGTGGAGGTTGCGTTTTCAGTAACTCCTAATGTCTTATAATGTGAATCTGTCATTATAATTCTGTCTCCTGTGTATGAATGAATAAAAAAAAAAAAGACAATGTCTACACCTATGTCTTTTTTTTTTTTTTTACGTACTTTTTTAAATCACGTGATTTTTTAAAAAAAAAATAACGCGTCACCTACGTACTGTTTTTTTTTTTTTTTTTTTTTTTTTGGTAACGTTTGTCCTTAAATAAAACTTTTAAATGTAGATTACCACTTCTAAGATGTAGATTACTACTTTCAAAACTACAACTTTTCCGACCGTAGGTGATACCTTTGGCTCTTTCCAGGAATTTAAAGACGCCTGTTTGGATGTTGCAGCCGACCAAGATTTTCATCTATTCATTCGGGAAAGTTCACACATTGGACAGGCTGAAAAGTCAGCTTTTTTCTATTGCGACTGTGTATTCAGCAACATGTACAAGGCCGTTCGTACAGAGAACTCTCCCAAATTAGTTAAAGTTATAGTGACAGGAACATGCGACTTTTTTATCAGAGCAGTTTTGCCCAAGGAGAATGGAGATCGTTGGATCGTTGAAAGCCACAACGATGTCCACAATCATTACATGTTGGAAGACGACAAAAAATTATGTCTTGTCAACAACCGGAATCCCCACTACGATCTTAAACTTTACGATTAACGAGATGCACGTCGCAAACGCCAAGACATCCTCTATTGTCGTAGCCGTAAACAACTTCAAGTACACAAAGACGAGAGTGATTGCAAAGGACATGACTAACCAACGTGCTCTGTTGAGACGTGCTTTAAATGAAGTTTAAGATCAACATTCCATGAATGCCTTTATTCGCAACTTGGAAGAGAAGGGATTCACTTTATAAAGCAAGTATGAGGATAATGAAAGGTTAACCCGTTTGTTCTTGGCCCATGTTAGTGCCGTAAACAACAATCTTCAATTCCCCGAAGTACGTCTCGTTGACGTCACGTACCGTACTAACATGTTTTGGTATCCTCTGATAAATGCCATTGGTATCAACAATATCAGCAATGGATCGAAGAAGGGTTTCATGAATTACTCTATGGTTTTGGCCTGGGTTGCGGACGAAACCAAGGTGACTTATGAGTGATTTTTTAAGGCACTCAAGACAAAGGTAATGTTTTGACATGGTAGCAAAAACGATGTTGAAAGTATCGCTGATGTCAATGACATCAAAAAGCATGTATTGAATCCAACATGAAACGTCGAAAAGATTGTGAATTTTGTTGACGAATTGTACAAACAACGTGCTTCTTGGGTTAAGCAGTACACCGATAAGTGTGCCACATGGGAATTTATACGATTAGCCCTGTTGAACAGCCCACTGTGCATTGAAAGGAAATAATTGTCAAGTTGCCACAAAATTTGTCCAATGGGATATGGTACTCGCCAACCAGAATATCGAAGCTGTCATGGATAAAGGTTACTCGACGTTTTCGGCCGATCCTTTTGTTATAACCAACCCAATGTCTCGTAAATTGGTGAAGGTGGTTAGCAGATTTGCTATTGAGATGATTTGGAAGCAAATCCAAATATTCAAGAAAGAGAGCCTTGATCGCTGCTTGAGACCTTCTACGTGAGTTTTCGGTATTGTTATGAAGCTACCCTGTAGACATATTATATACAAGGAAGAATATGATCAGGTATTCAGCAGCCAGAGAAACAGTAATAGATGGGACAATGTAGTTATCCGCAAGGATACTGTCATTCCCCTCTCCTCTGTGGACGCAAGATGGATTGTCGGAAAAGTGGCCTGGAGCAATAACTCGAACCCTCTTCATAGTGTGCACCAGTTGTTGTCAGCAGGTATTATTTTATGTTTATAGACAAATTATTTAACTGTTAAGAAGCTCATTTTAAACTTTAATAGAAATGTACACTAAGACGAATGCCACTGACACTAATTTCCACACGCTTCGACAGGACATAGAAGAAGTACCATTTGAGCATGTACGAAAAGAAAAACTTGATGTTATCAGCCACATGGTTGACAGAATCAATGATAATCTCGATATCAGGTTTCACATCCTTTGAAAAAGAAGGAACTGGCAGTCAGTAGTCGTAAGTTGACATAATAATAATAATCTACTCAGCTTATCAGTACTTATAACTCGTTTTTTATAAAAATTGTCAAGACGGGGAGAATTCTTTCCAAAGGTGAAGCCGTTGATGCTAAATTGAAGAAGGTGAACATACGAAAGCCATCTACTACAACGTAGCTTAAGCAAGTGACATTCGATGATTCTACCATCATTGATGATAGTATCAAGCTTTATTTATTCTTGCGCTGCGTTGGAATGCTTCAGTTCAAGTTGAAGCACGTCACTTCGGTGACAAAAGTTCTTAGCGAAGGAAATTGTGTTTTTCGTTCCGTTGCTGCCTCTGTAGGAAGAGACGAAGTCATACGAATTGCGCTGTCTCTTGGTGAAGAACTCTCAGGTGACTTCGAGAAGGATGAGGGTTTTTACATGGATGTAAGAAGATGCTTATGGAATCAACTAACCAATAATTTATCATGTTACATTAGTTGCTTCTTTGCTGTTCCCTTTGGGAGTACCAGACACTATTAGAATCGATATGGCTCTCTGAAATAGGCAAATGCAACAAAGACAAATAGATGATAATGGGCGCCACAGGTAATTATGATTATGATAACTATATTTAAGTGCTATCATACTTATTATGGTTTTAGGTTATATCTTTGATGATGTGTACAGCGGCCCTGTTTATTTTTTGTCCAACAGGGAGTCAATCACCATACTTCCAAACTGCATTTTAAATGAAAGTATACCGGTCAGCTTCGTATTACAAGATGATCACTACACACCTGTCGTATTTGGGTACGATTCAATCAAAAATAATTAAGCAAATCGTTTAAATAAATAAACTATGTGATTAAACAAATCTTTGATGTCGCGTACCAGCAAACGCTTGTATACTGCTATACAACTTCTCCTACTTCGAGTACATACTTCTATATAAAAGATTGCATGATTGGCCTAAATACGATATACGAATGACAGTTGAATACAAAATGCTATACCAATGAGTTAGGATATCATAGATCCAGAAGAGAATCTTCTCAGATCAAATCAAGAGTTATAAGAAAGAGAAATTTAGTATTAATAGTTCTCTCAATGGATTAGCTACCCAGAGAGAGAAAAGAACAGCTATTAATATAAATAGTTCATTTACTTATATATTAATATAATTATACTGCTGAGAAAGGGTATAGTAAAAAAGTGAATGAATTAACGGACACCTATTTTCTACAACCAAATATACCAACATCGATAAGACATTATATATTCGTGATCGTATTTAATTCATTACAAAAATAAAAAATGAATGATCAACTATTATGTTTTATTGCCAATTACACTTGATAAACAAGCATGCATCTTTTACAGTAACCGTTGCATGATCTGATAAGTAAGTGTCCCGTAATACTAAAGATTTATTAGAACACTCATGCTCCTGATCCACCGATATGGGACAACGGTAACTCGAACCAATTCTAACGAATAGTAGTCATTTAACCCAAGGCGGGAAACAAAGTATAGAACTATTCCAAAACCAGAAAGGTTGACTCATCATTACAACTCAGGAGAGATGTGCAATATAAAAAGGATCAATTATTCCATAGCAGCAGAGTTCTTTTAGTCTATTTTTACCTCCGATAAACATATACTTTTATCTCATTACTTTTCAATTGTATCAATTATTGTCAAATACCACAGATATAGTGATACTACGGTTTTAGATGTAGAGGAGCGACAATTGTTATTAAATAGCAAATGTGACATTGAGTACGAGACTTCAATCAATCAGCATAATTATTTGTAAAAGAAGAAGGAAAAGAAGAAAAAGAAAGTTCTGAGAGTGATCTTTAAGGAGATACTAATCCAGTAGTATACAATGATCGAGTAAAGAATATGGTACTTTCAAATGTAAAATCTAAATGCGAAGGAAAACTGGCAGCAACGATAAGAGGGAAAATTACCTGGTAACAATTATATCCAGGATTGTATCCTGTATAACACCAAACAATCTCTTGATACATCGGCTACTTGAAGCACTTGCATGTCAAACTATTAAGGATTATTACTTTTAAGCTGCTCAGCTAGAATTGAGTGATTATCAGCAAGCTCCAGCTAATACATGGTGTCAAAAATCGTATTTACGCAAGGATACGCAACATCATAGGTGGGTACGATCAATATACAGGCAAAACCCCACACAAAATACGAGACATTTACAGTGAGTTAAAAATGAAAGGTTTAAAAAGGCATAAAAGGTAAAAAAAAAAAAAAAAAAAAAAAGACATAAAAGATAAAAAAAAAATGTGGTTTTTACAACTATAAAAAACCAAAATGGAGACTCGCTAGCCAGCTTCAACAAAGAAAACTGCCCAAGTGCAACTGCGAGCAAGTCAGTCTTCGTGTGCACTCACCCACTTTTTACTAGTTTTGATGGCTCTCAAAGAAGGTTCCCGTCTATCGCAACAAAGAGGTCAAAACACCATCTTCTTAACGTAAAAAGAGGAAGCTCACTAATGATATGCCTATCAGCAAGCCGATTATCGACTGATTCAATTAGGGACCCTTTTCTTTCCACTCATGCAGCACAACCAGCAAGTAAAATGCTACTTCGAATCACCAAAGACAACTCCCGCTCTTAAGCTAGGGCTCATGACATACGCCCCTTAAGGTAAAGATGTTGTTGAAAACGCTTTAGTAGCTTGTTAAATAACCACCAAAGTTTGCAACATATTCCAAGTGGACAAGGTGATATCACCCAGAACAAACCGCAAACATTCAGTATTCCAGCAAAGGCCTCGAAACCTGTCATCTTCGGGGACCACCCCAAATGGTACTTGGTAACGAAATAAACGAACCAAACGACCAACCTGGAGTCCCAGATGTGTTGTGTGACTTCATGTACACCATCGGGAATCACCCCAACAATGACCTTTGGCACGAAGAGAAACAAATTACGTAGTAACAATAAAAATCCAAAGTTGGTACAAGTAAGTCAAAATAGTGAACGAAAATTCTGACATATGGAACTCAAATCAAAGACAATGAAAAATTAAGCATATCCCATCACTTTCACCCACTCACTTATTCCCAAGACTGTCCCCATTATACAAACTGTTTTTAATTAGTCGTCAATCGATTGTTGTTGATTAACTACTGTTTGTAACTAATGACATTAGAAATCACAATACTCTCCATACGAGGCATAACGCTCCTGTACGGGTATGGTGTGTTGAATTACTAAAAACAATTTATCGTTTCATATATACATTTTATAATCAATACTGATGAACTTTTTTGGGTATCTCAACGGTCACTATCAACGATTTTGTGCTACGTTGTAATGATAGTATGTGTTTGAGTCCGTGCTTCTTAAATCCGAGTCGCTAAGATTGTCACAATCATAGAATTGGTCTTCTGTATCGTCACAGTCATAGAACTGGTCTTCTGTATCGTCAAAAGGATCGTTTAAAGAATCATATCCAAGTTCATCTTCACCGTCGTCTTTGCTAACAATTTTGTTCTCACGAATCTCACGTTCTTCCTCCGTTTCGAACATAATATCAATTTCTTCCAGAACGTATGGATCCGTGGGAATATTGATGTGAACAGGGAAAATCACATTAAATTTAATAATAAGATCACCCTTGTTTCCATTCGGATCAGAGAATACTGGCATACCTTCTCCTTTCTGAATGATGGTCATGCCGGGTGTGATAACTTTGCCGGGGGCTAGTTGGATATTTAACTGGCGGCCATCGATATGTTTAATGAAATCACTCTTTGGATTAATTCCCATGATAGCATCTCGAAGCTTGATGTCGATGGAAGCAACTAAGTTGTCTTTCTGGCGCGAGAAACAGCCCCATTTATTTCCGACAGTCACCTTGACAAACAAGTCGCCCTTTGTAACTTTGTCGGGCATGACATTACCATGGTTTTTCACTTGGAACGTGTGGCCAGAACGGACTCCTTTTTTAACCGTAAGCAACCCAATTATACCAATCGTTTTGACATCACGACAAGTCTTGCATTTCTTATTGTATGTTTTTACACCTTTTCCATCACAGCCTTGACACATAACAGATACTTTATTTCTGTTGTAATCCAAGGTTTCAAGATATTTAGCACCTTTGCAAGTCTTACAAAGCTTAGATTTCAGAACAGTACTCTCAATACTATTATTTTAAAATTATCATCATGCTAGTTTTTTTTATATATATCTTTTTGCTTACCCATGGCATGTTTCGCAATTCATTTTCAGGCTGTAGCAAACCTCGATGGGACTCACGCCGAGATATGCTTCTTTTAATGAAATTTCTGCAGTAGTATAGACGTGGTAGTCTGATCCTATGAAAACATTTTAGCGGAGTTTCAACATTTTATATCAACAACGCCTTACTCTTAGGAGGTGGTGGTGGAGGTGGAGTTGGTGGAGTTGGTGGAGCTGTTCGAGTTCGCTTCTTGCTTCGTGGGCTGGAGCTAGAAGAAGGAGTACTTGGATAGGAGCTTTCGAAATCGAAATCGGTCGGGCGTTTCCTTTTCAAATCATAAGCCACTTTTTGCTCGTGATCAGATAAAATCTCATACGCGTTTGAAATTTTTTTGAACTAAGGCAAGTTAATGTCATGAAATGATACAGATAAAAAAAAATGTTTTACCTTTTCGGTTCCATTGGGATTTTTATCAGGGTGATAAGTTTTGGCCTAAAAACAAGTTAGCTACGCAGTCGGTTTATTTGAATGAAAATGTACTTACCAATTTATAATAAGCCTGTTATAAAGAAAAGAAAAATAAATGAGTTACATTGATAAAAAAAATGTAAGACGCGTTCATACCTTTCGAATTTCAGAGGAGGTTGCGTTTTCTGTAACTCCTAATGTCTTATAATGTGATTTCGTCATTATAATTCTGCTTGTTTTGTATGAATGAGTAAAAAAAAAAAGAGAATGTCTATACCTACGTCCTTTTTTTTTTTTTTTTACGTACTTTTTCAAATCACGTGAATTTTTAAAAAAAATAACGCGTCACGTACTTTTTTTTTTTCAGTGGATTACTACTTTTAAAACTACAACTTTTCCTACTGTAGGTGATACGCTTGCCTCTGCCGAGGAATTTAAAGACCCCTGTTTTGATGCTGCATCGACAAGGTTTTCAGCTATTCATCCGGGACAGTTCACCCCTTGGACAAGCTAAAAAATCAGTCTTTTTCCATTACGGCTGTGTATTCAGCAACACGTACAAGGAAGTTCGTACCGAGACTCTCGCAAAAGAGTTAAAGTTGCAATGACTGCAACCTGCGAATTTTCTATCAGAGCAGTTTTCCCCAAGAAGAATGGAGATTGTTGGATCGTTGAATGCCACAACAATGTCCATAATCATGACATGTTGGAAGACAACAAAAAATTATGTCTTGTCAACAACCGCAAGCTCTATTACGATCAGCAACGTACGATTCAAGAGATGCACGTTGCAAACGCCAAAACATCCGCTATTGTCGCGATCTTAAACATCGTCAAGTGCACAAAGATAAGAGTCATTGCAAAGCAGATGACCAATCAACGTGCTCTGTTGAGACGTGCTTTAAACGAAACTGAAAATCAACATCACATGAATCCCTTCATTTGCAACTTGGAAGAGAAGGGGTACAGTTAATCAAGCAAGTATGAGGAGAATGGAAGTTTGACTCATTTGTTATTTGCCCATGTTAGTGTGGTAAGCAACATTTGTCAATGCCCCGAAGTACTTCTCCTTAACGCCATATACCTTACTAACCTGTTTGGTTATTCTCTGATAAATGCGATTGGTGTCAACAATATCAGAAATGAATCGAAGAAGGGCTTCACCAAGGGTGTAATTTTTCCCCTGATTCGTCCATTTGGACGGATTTTTAGTAAGTGCCTACCCATTTACCCAAAAAAAATGAATTGGGTAAATTTACCCATTTACTCGTTTGGACAGATTTCTAGTAAGCGTTTACCCATTTACCCAAAAAAAAAAAAAAAAAAAAAAAAAAAAAAAAAAAAAAAAGTATTAAATGCATAATTAAGGGGGTGTATAATTTAAAATTAGCTCTCCCTTTCAGCCTTCGGCCAAATAAAAAACTTTCGTTTATAGATATCAAAATTATTAAATGCGTTAATTCGTTTTGTAAACATTGGTTTACGATTTTAAAAGTTGATTATTTATTTTATTCAATAGGATGCATGTTAGATTTTTTATATCTTGATACTTGAGGACAAATTGTTATGTAGAAGGATTACTACTTAAATGAGCCAAAAAGTAAACGGTACATGGCATAACATGAAGTAATTGATTATTCTGTATAGGAAGCAACGTATAATCTAAAAACAAGGGTGATAACCAAAATTTTCTAAATGAATATTAGGTTAGTTTATGATAAGAAGACTCAAAATTGATACGTACTAATTCCTTTTCTAAAGAGAGTAGCCGCCACAACGGTAAAAGCAGGAAGCGTAAGTCTGAAAAGATAATTAGAGAAGGGAAAAGCTATAAACGAAAAACAATTACTTATAGCACTGGAGTAGTACACTGCAAGCACGGCCTTTATAAACCTGTCTATGCTGATTTAAAAGAGAGATAAGTAAGGGGAGGGATTTCAGAGATGGAATGATAAATTTACCAGAGTATAATCGCAAAATAAGTAAGCCCAGACATGTATTCAGTTACCCGGTTTCCGGAAACAAGAACTAATAAAAGTCTTTTTTTTTTAAAAAAAAAAACTGATTTATTGATGTAAAAAGATAAAAAAAATAAGAAAATTAAGGCCGGGTTTGTTGTCGCTATACCTGAATAATCCAAAAATCCAAAATAGAAAATAAGACAAAGTATTAACCAGATTGCAAAAAGGAACTAAATTTTATTGAACATAAAAATAATTATTTCTTTTATACATAATGAATACAACTAAAACTACAAGCGGGACACTGCCATCGTGGTTAGATTATATCCAAATATTGTCCAAGCTGTCAATAAACCCGCAAGGGTCCGTAAGGAGAATATAATAAACAACTCGTACTTGAATAGGCATTTGGTGTTACGTGAACTCTGAAATTACCAGCTGACATATGATAAATATGACAGCAGTGAAAATACTTCAATCGTCGTAGCACAAGCGTATTACCTTAGCTAAGGTGTATTTACAGCCCGCATACAACAATACCGCTACGTCATTGACTACAAAATAAAAAAGGTCGGGTTTGTTGTCGATGATGTCGTATTTGGGTACGATTCACTTAAGAATAAATAAGCAAATCGTTCAAATAATTAAATTATGAAATAAAAAAGAACCTTCAATGTTGCATACCAGCATACACATGTATACTGCTACACAACTTCTCCTACTTCGAGTACATATTTCTATATTAAAGATTACATGATTGGCCTAAATACGATATACGAATGACAGTTGGATACAGAAAGCTATATCGCTGAGTTACGATATCACCGATCGAGAAGAGAATCTTCTCAGATCAAATCAAGAATTATAAGAAAGAGAAACTTAATATTAATAGTTCCCTCAATGGCTTAGCTACCCATAGAGAGAATAGAACAGCTATTAGTATAAATGGTTCATTTACTTATATGTTGATATAATTATACTGCCTATAAAGAGTATAAAGAAATAGTGTATGAATTAATGGATACCTATCTTCTACAACCAAATATACAAATTTCGATAAGATATTCTATATTTGGGATCGTATTTTATGCATTAGAAAATTAAAGCATAAATGATCAATTAGAGTGCATCTGCTTTTAGGTGGTACCTAAAAAAAATTTAAGCAGAGACAAATTTTTAGATGGGTAAAACACATTTTCTTTATAATTAATATCCCATCTGAAAGGTTAGGATTGTTTTTTATGTTGATTAGAATGAGAATCTACATATATTAAATTAAAAAACATAACAGATTCTGGATTCAACATTTTTTTTTTAGGTGGGGGCGGGGAAAAGATGTCACAACCTGTACAAAAAGGTTTTAGAGCCAATAATAACCTGCCGCTAATATCATTAGCCGTGGTCGGATTTTGAAATAACCCACTGTTTGTGCTCACGATTTAAAAAACCGCGCACAGACTATATAATCGTTAGCAATGGCTTGAAATAACTTCAACCTTTTTTGTGTACTTAGTAGAACTACTTGAATTTTAAAATATACATTAAAACAAATATTCTTAAGATGCGTGACCCTTTTTAAAAATAATTTATCTATTGAAAGGTTGGAAATATTGATTTGAAGTTGTTTAGAGACAGCCTATGAAATCGCAGCCGGAGGCTTAATATCACAAACCCTGAAAAAGGATAAAAAAGTTTAAACCTTTTTTATGTACTAAGTAGAACCACTTGTAATTTTGAATATATATTATAAAGTATATTCTTAAGATGCGTGACCCTTTTTAAAATTAATTTATCAATTGAAAGGCTTGAAATATTGATCTGAAGTTGTTTTAGAGACGGCCTATGAAATCACAGCCGGAGGCTCAATATCACCAACCCTGAAAAAGGGTAAGAAAGTTTAAACATTTTTTATGTACTAAGTAGAACAACTTGTAATTTAGAATACATATTATAAACTTTATTCTTAAGATACGTGACCCTTTTTAAAATTAATATATTTATTGAAAGGCTTGAAATATTGATCTGAAGTTGCTCAAAGCCGGCCTATGAAATCCCAGCCGGAGGCTCAATATTACTTACACTGAAAAGAAGATAAAAAAGTTTAAACCTTTTTTATGTACTAAGTAGAATTATTTGTAATTTAGAATATATATTATGAACTTTATTCTTAAGATGCGTGACCCTTTTTAAAAATAATTTATCTAGTGAAAGGTTCGAAATATTGATCTGAAGTTGTTAAGAGACGGCCTATGAAATCATAGCCGGAGGCTCAATGTCATCAACCCTGAAAAAGGGTAAAAAAGTTTAAACCTTTTTTATGTAATAAGTGGAATTACTTGTAATTTAGAATATATATATTAAAGTATACTCTTAAGATGCGTGACCCTTTTTAAAAATAATTTATGTATTGAAAGGCTTGAAATATTGATCTGAAGCTGTTTAGAGCCGGCCTATGAAATCGCAGCCGGTGGCCCAATATTACTTCCACTGAAAAATTTTCTTCAAAAAAAAAAAAAAATCCCCCCCCCCACATAAAAAAAATCTGGCTATGAATAAATTTCCTTTTATATTACTTGTACTAGTCGGAGATGAATGCTCAAAAATGTCACAAAACACGTTAGGAACTACTGAAAAGCAGATGCACTCTACAACTATTATGTTCTATTTCCAGTTACACTTGACAAACAAGTATGTATCTTTTAACAGTATCCGTTACACGATCTTACAAAGAAGTGTGCCACTGCACCAAGTATTTGTCAGAATAGTCGTGTTCCCGTTTCACACATCTGGGACAACGTTACCTTTAATCAATTCTAACGAGTAGTGTTTAGATAACACAAGATGGAAGACTAAAATATAGATTTATTCCAAAACCAGAAAGGTTGACTCATCATAAATCCAGGAGATGTTGGCAATATAAAAAGGATTGATTATTTCATAGCAGCAGAGTTCTTTAGTCTATTTTTACCCTAATAAAAATATTCGTTTTATCTCATTATTTTTATACGTGCATTTTATCAAATATCACAGATGACTTGTTTTATTTCTTGTTGGTGACAACAAATAAACATTAAGGCCGGGCTTGTTATCGCTATACCGCTACATCATTGGCTACTGTGGATAGGCAGTTGTGAGGACAAGAGGGATACAAAATTGTAAATAAGCGGTCACAGAGTGTTCATGACTGAGGGGAGATATTGTTCCTTCATACTTCCATAAATGGTTTTATGAATATCTGATACTAGATGTCACCACCAGATTACATATATAAATATCCAAATTTCAATAACTAATAAAAACAATTCTTTTAACCCTGAAAAACACAACACTTAATTATCAAGCTTTTTGATACAAGTTTATTTGGTCTTTTTGTCTAAGGGAGTTTCAGTCATTTATCAGTAGTTAGTGACAAGGTATATATAAACCCCTCGCAACAATTGGTGGAGTATCTGGGCGTGCAGTTATTTGATAAGTCATTGAAACTAGAACATTAGTCACAAGTTTTTTTAGAGCTATAACAACAAGAATTAAATCTATATGTCGGAAGAAAACTCAGTCATGGTACTAGGAGAAACGAGTGCTAAGGTGGCTCCGTCCTTCACGGGTGGGGAAAGGCAAGACCCATCAAAATTTCTAGAAGAATTTAATGAAGCAGCGTCTTGGAACAATTGGGTTTCTAGGGATAGGAGAAAGGAACTATTCTTTTATTGTCTCTCTGGGTATGCCAAGGAATGGTTTCTAAACACATTCGATCGAAGTGAGGCGGCCCATAGTAATATCAAGTTTTATAATGGTATTGAAGAAAGCATGGTTGGCCTATTCACCAAGAAATTCATTACCGCGGAATGGTTTGAAAAGTACGAGGATCGCATACAAGCAACTACGGAAACACCTTGGGAGTACATGAATGCAAAAAGGGCGTTGCATCGCAAGTTGGGTCAAGAAGTCAAAGATGAACACTCTGAAAAATCTATTGTTAAGGATATCAGAAACGGTCATCTTCCTGGAGTGAGAAAGTTCTGTGAACATATGGAAATGAATCCATACAATAACATCAATCGTGCGAAGGTCAATACGTATGATGGTTTGAAAACTCTTTTACGTTGGGCGGAACAATGGAGGTGCCACGGTTACACCCAAGGTGGATAAGGTTCAGGAATTACAACAAGTAAATATGATTTTGAAACACAATGAAAACGCTGGTGCCAGATCGTATGCAGGAGTCAAGGTTTCATCAGAGGGTTACACTGAACGCCAGGATGGTCGAACGGCGTAATTGGAGCTCATCATGAAGAAGTTGGAGAAGCTGGACAAGTTAGATAAAATTGAGAATAACCTTGCTCGGACCTTAGATTGCGTTGATCTAATGGAACGTCGGGATGAAAGTAGTGTTGCTGCTGGAAAGAAGGTGGAGGAGACTGGTGATCAGGAGTTATGTTACAATTGCAAAGGTGTGGGTCATATTTCGAAAGATTGCCAAGTGTGTAGAAAATGTTAATCGCCTAAGCATACCAGCGCGTCTTGTAATATAAAGTCAGCAAACCAGGATTTTCACGAACGCTCCCCACAGTGTTAGGTGTGGTGGAGCGTAAAATTACAATTCCTAACTCAGTCCAAGCAGGTCCTTCGTCGTCACCGGTATCGGTGTTCTATTCAGGAACTTCATATCCCAAGGAAGTCATTGTGATTAATGCCAGAAGTTCGTCGTCAAGACAACAGAAGTCGTCGGAGGAGGTGAAGGCGGTTCTTTTGGAGAACTTGAGGAAGGCTCGCGAGGCTAAGGCAAGATATAGGCAAGAAGATGAACTCGCAAGGAAGAGAGGTGAGGTTCCACCTTCGGTGTTGAGAAAGGTCGCAACAGGTATGCCAATCATGATGGACTCCGAGCAACATATACAGCCCTTTGACATGAAGCAAGGTCTCTGGAATAGCATCGTATTCATTTCGTTACCACAGCTGCGTTACCACTCACCAAAGCTATATCATGAAACTTTGGGGCATCTGGGTGCTCAATCAAGTGTGGTCAAGAAAAGGTCCAATGAGTCAAGATCGTCTGATAACATGGAGGTGGATGACACCAAGGAGTGGGTGGCGTCGGTCAATCATGTAACGGTGATAGATACGACGGTGCTGGATATAGAACCAACTCTACAATCCTTGTTGTGTATGATTGGTGAAACTCCTTTGGAGTTTTTGATTGCTGGTGGTGCGATTGTATCGGTTATTGCGTTGAAAGTGGTAGACGAATTGGGGTTCAAGTCACAAGTCAGGCCTACCAACCGTACTCTGCGTTTTGGGGATGGTGAAGTTGAAGCTGCTGTGGGTTTGGTCACGCTCAAACTCATTCTTTCTGAGGAAATTGGGTGTCAGGAGCGGGGCGGCGCAAGAGCAGAACAGATCAATTATTAAGGTGAGGACAAGACAAAGAGAGATTATATATGTATTAGTATTAATATATATATAAAAGGAATGTAGGTAGAAAAAGGTTTATTCAGAGAAACAGGAAAAATAGATAAGATATTGAATACAGAAATAAGATTAAATAAATATGCTGTTATTTATATTAATTGACAGATCGGGTAAACAAGGGTTCGGGGATCAGATATACAGAGACAGATTATTAGTCATATTGAGTTTGGGACATCTTTCAGGTAGCGGGCATAGATACAGATAATTTCGGGGATAGATGTAGAGGATAACATGGGCTGATATTATTAATGTTTTGCAAGGGAGTTCAAAGGCAGAGGTACAACGGAAACGGGTGTTAAATGGGTTTTACAAGGACAAGGGATAACGGAGATACATTATTTGGAACAGAGACCTTAGACAGGATACAATAGTGATGTGTGACAGGTGACAGAGAACAGGGAACAGGTGGAACAGGTACAATGGGCTAGTTGGGTTTCAATAATGGTCTGAGACATTTTGCATGATAATATGCAACTGAAACCTAAGCGGTTCATGACACCAAGTTAATGATCAAGTAATGGTTGAGAGTCGAGATGTGGTAAACAAGGAAGCGTTGCTATTGAGTAGGTGGGTGGGGCCTTACCATATTCAAAAAGTGGTGGGTAATAATGTATACGAAATCCGAGATGAAGCCTTGGTATTTCCTACGATATACCATGCGAATCAAATCAAGATTTACAAGGCTCGTCCCAGGCTGAATGTGCCATTACCGTTTTACTCTGTGTCGTCAAGCGAAACTAAGCAAAAAGGGGTTAGTGTGAAAAGGCAGTTGTGAGGACGAGAGGGATACAAAATTGTAAATAAGCGGTCACAGAATGTTCATGACTGAGGGGAGATATTGTTTCTTAATACTGTAGCAAAAGTAGGCTTAAAGAGGATAGTTTTGCAGAAAAAAAGGTAGAAAAAAACAATAGGATCAATTAGAATTCTTGTCAGAGTTTATTGATGTTAAAGTTAACTGAAGATTTAAGAAGAGGAAAAATAAAGAGTATTTATAATAAATGGAATGGACGAGGCTGAGGATACTACTCTTAACAATATGAGTATGCTATCAATAACAATATCTATATTGGACAATTAGTGCTACGCATAGTCAATAGAGAAATAATAACAATAACATGTCTTAAGTTTGGACATTGGTGTTACGATACCGTGACACTTTAAAATAGTGACCGGCTTTAGCGAATTCCTTTTTTATGCCTGATCATGATTTAGCTATCATTTATCAGTGATGATGAGATATGAATTTATTATATGTACAATCTATATGTGTGATTTAGCACAAATACTTCCATAAATGGTTTTATGAATATCTGATACCAGGTGTCACCACCAGTTTACATATATAAATATCCATATTTCACTAACTAATAAAACAGTTCTTTTAACTCTGAAAAACACAACACTTAATTATCTAGCTTTTTGATACAATTTTATTTGGTCTTTTTGTCTAAGGGAGTTTCAATCATTTATCAGTAGCCACAAGGTATATATAAACCCCTCGTAGCAATACAAAATAAGAAAGGTCGGGTTTGTTGTCGATGACTTGTTTTATTTCTTGTTGACGACAACAAAGAAAATTAAGGGTGGGTTTGTTGTCGCTATACAGCTATGTCATTGTTTACAAAATCAAAAAGTTCCGGTTTGTTTTCGATGACTTGTTTTATTTCCTGTTGGCGAGAACAACAGAAATTAAGGCCGGGTTTGTTGCCGCTATACCGCTACATCATTCGATACTGTCGTGAGCCTCGATGTCATCAATTGAGCGATCGGCGTTAGAATAACCTCTTACTAAATTAGAGAGATCAAAGGATGACCAACACTAAATTAGTATACTTTAGTGTTAACATTAGTCAAAGAACTAATCTAGTACCATACTTAATACATATAAAAACCCACAAAATAATATAATAAAACAGTATCTTTATTCTCATCAGAAAGTCTCGTTAATAAGTTTAGCTACGAAGGAATTTAACTACAAATTCCTATTCCTATAAACTATCAACCAATCATCTGGTATCACTTTAACGACCGACTTCCCTCTTATTTTATGGTGGAGTAGCTGGTCTTTTCCTGTGCCTAAATACATCTCTAGAATCGCTATCTCGGTACTTACCTCGTACTCTCGCTATCCATGTCTACATCGTCTAAACCCGAAGAGGTGGACTCCTTCGCATCCATGTTGGCCGAACAGCGTGTTAACAACAGAACACTTGTGGCACCTTTTCAACCAGATCAAGATATCTCACACTGGATCAAGCAATTCCATCTCTCGGCTAAGTCTCTCGGTATGAATAGTACCACCTCTAGGAAGTTGCAAATGCTGAAATATTTGCCTCAAGAAGCCACTGACTGGTTATTGTGTGTAACAGATTTCTTTAGCAGCACCGATATCAAAACCAAACTTGAAAGCGTGTACGGTATCGACCCTGCAATCCAAAAACCCAATTGTCGTCAAAGATTAGAGTCACTCAAACAAGGTCTACGCCGCGTTGCTGAATATCGAATGAACTTCGAAACTATTGTTTCTGATTTTCCTGAAGGTCATACTTTGTCAGACGACACCCTTCGTAACATCTTTTTCAACAATTTGAGACCTGAGCTCCACACTGCTTTGCTCGTCATTGTCGATCCCTCTGACACCTGGAAGACTCTGGCTGCTTCTGCAGCAATTCGTGAATCGGTATTGTTATTGGGTAATGATCATTTCTTGGCTCCTCAACCACAAGCTCCTATCTTCGACAGTCCTACACCTATGGAAGCTGACTCGGTACAAAACCACGGTAACCAACGATCTTTTGGTAGGCCTGATAAACGAACGAAAAACCCTATGCGTCGTTGGGCTGCATCTGGACAACCCATTTGTGGCATTTGCGGCACCGAAGGACACCTCACCAAGAAATGTCCAAGAAAAACCGAACGGGTCAAGTCTGTGGAAAAAGTGAAGGAATCAACTCCCACTGTCGCTCCTATCCTTCCTGGAACAGTGCAATATGTTTCTTCGGTTTCTCCTGTCCAAGGTCAATATGCTGTTATTTCTATCGAACATGACCCTATTGCTACAAATGGTGCAAGTGTTCACAACATATTTGTTACTCCCGAGGCTAGTCTTATCTCTCCTGTTCTTCACAACATTACTGTACCCACTGATGCTTCTTCGACACCCAAGATCAGAGTACATTTCAAAGGTCAATCGGCTTTAGGTTTAATCGACACTGGTGCATCTGTAACAGTTATGCGTTCATCTCTGGCGAAACAACTGAATTTGGTTCCAGATACCACGAACCGAATCTATTTTACCACTGCAGGTAATCAAGTCCATACCTCTCTGGGAATGTTAAAGGTATCCGCACTCCTTGGTGAGCTTCCAGTCGTTTTGGACTGCCACGTTGCACCCGAATTAGCGCATGAGCTTATTATCGGTTACCTGGTATTAAGATCATTGAAAGCGGTTATCGATGCTGGTACGAATCAAGTGCGAATTCCAACAGGTGTCAAGACCCAACAGCCCAAGCAACCAGCTGTTAACTCGGTATGTTCCATGACAACTTCGTTACTCCTTCCAGGCTTCCATCATGCATATGTAGATATTCAAGGACCTCCAGGCAAGTTGACATTCGTGTCTACCCCACAAGACATAGCTATGGAAAAACTACTCTCCGTTGCTGCGGGTGTAGTTCAATTCAACGACAAGGGTGTAGCTACGGTGAAAATTGCTAATTTAGATACTACAGATATTTTAATTAATAAAGGTCAGCATATCGCTTCTTACGAGTATTTACCTTCGTCTCCGAAATTACATAATTTTTCACCTTATTCTCCTATTATTTCTAGTATCCAGTCTTCGAACACTCAAACGGCGAGTTGTTCACCAGATCCCACTCTGGACTTTGCATCTTCCCTTGGTGATAGTCTAACTGGTCAAGAAGCTGATACTTTGAAAAATCTGTTGGGTGAATATTCTGACTGCTTTGCTACTAAAGCATCTACGGCTACTCCTTTGGTTAAACATCATATCAATACTGGCGAACAACGGCCGTTGTCACAACCACCACATCGTGTTTCTGGTGCTGAGAACGACACCATCAATGGACTATTAGAAGAAATGCTAGAGCAAGGTATCATCCGTGAAAGCAATTCACCTTGGGCCTCTGGTGTTGTACTGGTAACTAAACATGATGGCTCTCCCCGCTTCTGCGTTGATTACAGACGAATCAATAGTGCGACCACACGCGATGTCTATCCCCTCCCTCGCATCGATGATACAGTACACAGTTTAGGTAACGCAAAAATGTTCTCTACAGTAGACCTTACTTCTAGCTATTGGCAGATTGAATTAGATGAAGAAAGTATCCCTAAGTCTGCATTTATCTGTCGTAATGGGTTGTATGAATTTGTTCGAATGCCTTTCGGGTTATGTAATGCACCTGCTACAATGCAACGCTTGATGGATCCCGTACTGGCAGGTCTGAAATTGCAACACTGTCTGGTATACCTAGATGATATTGTCGTTTTCTCTCCTGACTTCGATCAGCATGTCAAGAATCTTCGCTCTGTGCTCAATCGGCTACGCAATGCCAAATTGTCTATCAACCTCAAGAAGTGTAAGTTTGCCAACAACAATATTTCCTTCCTCGGTTATATGATCACACCAGATGGACTTCATAATGATCCCGAAAAGATCCGCGCTGTTGCTGACTTTCCTTCTCCAACCAATGTCGAAAACTTACGATCATTTCTTGGTCTAGCTGGGTACTATCGAAGTTTCATTGGGAAATTCTCAGTGATCGCTGCTCCTCTGAACAACTTACTCAAGAAAGATGTTCCATGGGAATGGCTACCACTACATCAACAAGCTTACGACCTGCATAAAGACAAACTCCTATCCGCTCTGTCTTACGCTTTCCGGATTTCTCGGCTCCGTTTAATCTGCATACCGATGGTGCTTGTACGGCTGGCATTGGTGTCATTCTATGTCAACGTGATCCTCGTAACAATAGGGCCTACGCTGTTTCTTTCGCGTCTCGTTCCCTATCACCTGCTGAAAAGAATTACGGTGTCTCGGAGGTCGAAGCTCTCGCCATTGTTTGGGGTATTAAAAAGTTTGCGCACTATCTCACGGCTACCAAATTTACTGTCATCACGGATCATCAGGCACTCCAAACGCTCCAAAACAAGAACACGGATCTTCGTGGTCGGCTAGGTCGTTGGGCTCTCAGCCTACAGCAACATGATTTCAAGATCGTATATCGTCCTGGTACAAAGAATGCTGGTCCAGACGCCCTCAGTCGCTTCCCTGTGTCCACGCCCAACGGCTCCAACGAAATCATTTGCAATTTGTCCACCAATGATTTCCTCAAAGCCCAATTGAATGATCCTTTCTGCCAAGAAATTCGGGCTGAAGATCCACTTCCAGTTCGCTACACAATTGAGTCCGGTGTCCTCTTCTTTTCCTCCCGGCCGGTACTTTTCCGGTCATTATGGCTTGAAACATTCGAACTCTTACATGCCAATCCAACTACTGGTCACCTTGGTATTGGTCGTACTCTGCAGAGATTCAGTCGTTTGTATTACTTTCCAGGTCAAAAGCAATGGGTTCAAGATAAGGTCAACTCCTGCCAAGTCTGCCAAAAAGTTAAACGGTCTAACACCACCATGGGATCCACAAGCCTTGTCCATTCTAGTCCATCCTCTCACCCATTTGATACAATTGCAATTGATTCCTTTGGTCCGTTACCGACGTCCAAGATGAGCAACAAATACATTATTGTCATCCAATGCATGTTCTCTCGATATGTCGTTATCACTGCAGTACCAGAAAACACTGACCGTCAAGTGGTAAAATGTTTAAGTAAGGTGATCGCTGAACATGGGATTTTTCGACAGATGCTCAGTGACAATGGACAACCGTACGCTGGTACCCTACTGAAGACGCTGTGTTTACATCTCTCTGTAAAACAGAAATTTTCTCCTGCTTATCACCCGCAATCTAACGGTCTTGTTGAACGCTTTATGGCTACCCTGAGGAATCTGATCGTATCATTTATGGACCTTGACTATCAGCAAGTCACTTGGGACGAACATCTTAATGAATTTCAGTTAGCATATAATTCAAGTATACACGATGCCACGAAATTCTCACCCTTCTCTCTGGTACACGGTTGTGAATCTCGAACGCTTGCTTCCCCTGACTTTGGTATCAAATCTATTCCGGCAAAAGATTATCAACAACAGGTCAAACAATTTCTGAGTCGGGCCTTAGCCTTGGTACAGCTCGAGAACAACAAGGCGCAAGCTAAGAACGCCACCGATTTCAATCAACATCGACAAGAGCCTGATCTAGCCCTTGGAGACTTGGTACTTATCGACTTCCCCGTACAATCAAGCGCAGCTGGTAAACGGTCTGGTAAACTGGTTCGATCGTTCCGTGGTCCCTTCAAGATCGTCAAGATTCTTTCCTCCGACAGGTTCGATGTACTGGAAATTGAAAACAACAAGCCTTGGTCGAATGTACATTCAAGTCGAATGAGAAAGTTCGTTTAAGAAGACAATCTCTTTACTTCTCTCTTAACCCCCCGGATGTCGTGAGCCTCGATGTCATCAATTGAGCGATCGGCGTTAGAATAACCTCTTACTAAATTAGACAGATCAAAAGATGACCAACACTAAATTAGTATACTTTAGTGTTAACATCAGTCAAAGAACTCATTTAGTACCATATTCAATACTGTGGTATTTAGCCATATTATACCGTAGTCGAATTAGGTTACACGATCACAATCCACAATAATTGACATTATTGTGACTACTAATAACCTCATATAAAAGCAGAAATTAACTATTCAACTAGACGGATCCTTCTTGTCTTTTTATTATTATAAAAAAACAATAAAGTTATCAAAAGTTTCATTTTATTTCTTGACCCATAATTATCACAAATACATATAAAAACCCGCAAAATAATATAATAAAACAGTATCTTTATTCTCATCAGAAAGTCTCGTTAATAAGTTAAGCTACGAGGGAATTTAACTACAAATTCCTATTCCTATAAACTATCAACCAATCATCTGGTATCACTTTAACGACCGACTTCCCTCTTATTTTAGTAGCCAATGACGTAGCGGTATAGCGACAACAAACCCGGCCTTAATTTTCTTTGTTGTCGCCAACAAGAAATAAAACAAGTCATCGACAACAAACCCGACCTTTTTTATTTTGTAGCGACAACGGCCACCACCTTAACTTTCATTCATATGTGAGACGACAGTTTAGGTGACATTGCTTTATTACTAGCAGTCGGTGAAGGTCTTGCTGAAGTCTTCTGGTAGGGCTGATTGTTACTGGTGTATGTATCGTTTCTCGGACATACGTTTGGGTTTCTCTACATCCGGAATACACTGAAACTAGTATTCAATTCATTGTTGTTGAGCGTTCATGACAGGATACAGAAGTATCTACCTTCCTCCTTACCCCCCCCTCCCCGATCTTAATCCAATAGAGCAATTTTGGGCAATTGTCAAAAATAAGGTCAAGCGAAGTTCATTCGAAGATACTGAAGACTTGACAACTCGAATTGCTGAAGCTTGTAACGGTGTTCCTCCTATGCACCTCCAAGAAATCGCTCAGCACTCTATAAATTGTTTTCCTATCTGCTTACGTGGTAAACCGTTATAAATACTGTTAATTTCAAAATAAACGAACTTCGAATATAAGAAACCGATTTTTGAGGAAAAAATAAGTCGCCTTTTGCATAATTGAAAAGCGCCCTTTGAGATTTAAAAAGCCGTCTTTCGAAACAATTTATTATCCGCCCTTTTTTTCAAAAACCGCCCTTTGGCGCTGGAACGACTGTATATAGGTTTCCGTTTATGTAAAAGAAAAATATGGGGTCCTAAAGCAAATACCATTCAATAGTGTTTATCTGTTTAACCAGTCTGTTCTCATCGAAATATGTAACTGCACTCCTGAGTTGTGTGGGGGAAATGTCTATTGCATTGAAGAAATAGGTTAGGATCCAGAAAATATTATGAATGATTTATTTACCTATGTTCAGCAAGTAAACAGACTTTGAAGAGCATTCTGGAAGTTCTTTCGACGCATTGCTCGGTAGTATAATCGGGTCTTTTGAATGTTGTATTTTTAAATTTGGGTTTTTATAATGTCAGAAACACCAAACAGTGCATATTCTTCAAGTTTTACATTAAAACTAAAATTATATTCGGTCATGTATACTTTAACGGAATTTTTCAGATATGTCTTGTATTTTTCGACCCAAATACAGAAAATATTGATGATGGCTGATTGATCACGATATGAATCATTGCGATTGTCAACCGTCAAGATTATCATCGATCTTTCTTTTGCGTTGTTCATACCCTCGAGAATGTCATCCATTTGAAGAAAAAATAGGGTTTTAGCAGAATTGAATGCATTGTCTAATAGCTCTCCGATACTTAAAGATTGAATTACGTGGATTTGAGCTTCATCCAGAAAGCATTGTTCCTTATCCAATATTTCTTGCAGGCTTGGAATAACGGGAACTATGAATACGCGGTGAATATCTATCGAAGAATCCCGTCCCTAAAAAATGAAATGTATCCAGTTAATGGTCTATTTCCGACGGAATTTTTATGATTAATCACTACTAATGTTTGCCACCATATCATATACTTTCTGGATTATCAACCTTACAACATCTGATGATAGCATGATATTATAACGCTTTATCATAAATGACGTAAGCGAGGATTGTGCTTCCTTCCATATAAACGGCAGCGAAAAAGTTGCTTCTTTTAATGATTGTGGGATATAGTTGCTGTCTGCTGAATCTAAAGCAAGATAACGAGCTGAAACTATTTCCAAATTTACATCAGCTACGATTATAGCTTCGCTTTCTCTAACACTTATTCTATATATGATATATTCTTTGCCATTTTTCATCCCCAACTTGGAAAACACAGTTTCATTTCTGTAGCGGTTTTTGCAAGTTTGAATATATCGAAAAGTTGCCTCTAATTCCGTAAGAAAAATCAATCTACCTTGACCATCATCTTTGTGGATGAGATTAGCTTTCATGGTGAGGGGTCGAAAAAAATTTTCTCTTGTTTCATGGCACCAGTTTCCAGGAGTAGTGAATGCGAAATATAAATCTCCGTCTGAGCAGTGTAACTTCTCCTTCCATATATCCACTTGCTGTTGTAACAAATGTATCGCCTCCTGTTCAGTAAGATTGTTATGCACATTGTAATTTTGGGTTCCTAAATAAATGTCGTGGAGCTCGCTAAAAATATTGGGTGTATAAAAATAATCTGTATGGTTTTCTCCTACTTCGTTCAGCGCTTTATCGGCTTCTTTTCCTCTAGCTATTAATCTACTATTGGTGATGTAATATATTAGAGAAGTTTTTATAGAATCTGGAACTCTATATCTAGAAAAACAAATAACCGTCAGGAGGAGCTTTTTACCATTTGTGCTTTGAACTGACCTTCGAAATTCGACCTTGAGATGATCACTGAGAGCAATTGATTCGCACCTGATGTAGAGAGAGTCCATTACTATCACAAGTCATCATTACTTCAGAAGTAAGTCCTCATTGCTTCACAAGATTAAGTAGCTTACGAAATAAAAGGCAATGTGTATGTCGAGAATAATTATAGTTTTCATCCATCTCTTTGTCTGAGCTGAATTGTATGAGAAAACAAATGAAAAGGGAGAAAAGGTAAATACAAGGTACCACAATGTAAGTGGACTATGTGGCACATAATAGAGGGTTGAAGTAACACAATCGAACCCTCTGCTTTTTGCAAAAAAGAATGCTACATTAGATTCTACAGCCTTCTTCATCAATGTCAAAGAGAAAAGTCGGAAACCCTCGTTTCCTTCTGACACAGTAAAAGAGAAATCTTAACGGGACAGGGGTCTCGGTTTTGGTTTTCGGGCGTTAATTTTAAATGCGTACATAAACTGCTGTTTGGGTCAAGAGTATGTATAAATGAAAATCAACTTACACCCTCCTGGTTTTTGCTGTTAGTTATATAAAGGACCTGATTCTGTTATTTCGATTCATTTCCGTCAATGCCTTTATTTGACTTAATTTTCCTAGCTATTATGGTGGTAATTGCTTCATTTACAGTAAAATAAGATTTTCCATTGTTTATGTTAAACACTTTTTAATTTATTTTATTTTTTTACAGCAATATTTTTGTAAGCCATTAGAACCAAATAAACAGCGAGGTGTTAATCCTGCTAATCGTTTAACATTGGTAGCTCTGGCTGATGTTTAGCATAAACACGGACCGGAGCCGGCCACTTAATTTTCCTGTGGCCGAATCAAATCTTCGATTTTGAGAAGGTTTTACAGAGTGGCACAATGTTGTCTCTCGCTTTTACAGCGTGGTATTGAGCTGATACTAGCTCCAGATTCACATTAACTTCATTTTTAAATTGTAGTGCGCGTATAATGTACTGCTTGCCCTGTTGTATTTGTATATGTTTGACATATACATCGTCTGATTGCACAAATCGAAAATTCGATTCTAACTCTATAAAAAAAATTAATTTACCTTGGCCATCATCTTTGTCAATTAAGCCTGCTTTTATGAAGAGAGGCCGAATTAACTCCTCTCTTTTTTCAAAGCCCAAGTTTCTCGGTGTAGTGAATATATAGAATAAGTCTATGCTTGAACATTGTAGCCTGTGTTCAAATTAAGTTGCTTCTCATTGTAATATTTGTACCGCCTCCTTGAGAACAATATCGTGATACGCATTATGTTTCAAAATATCATACTCTTGTCTCAAAAGATTTCATGAAGTTCGCTGAAAACGTTTCATACGTAAATAATGACTTCTTGATGTGTTTTAAATTTCTCCGGCGCATTCTCGGCTGATTCACATATTGGTTTAGCGTGTCCCATGGAAGTACGGCAAGAAATTGGAGTCGTTTTGGACATGGCGTAACTTTCGAAAATTAGAGTTGTTAGAAGAACGCTTCTTGCAATATTAAATTATTGGCTTACCTTTGGCCATCTTTAGATATAAAATGATCACCAATGGAGATTGATTGAATCTCCACTGTGTCATTATTAAAAGCTGTTTAAAGTAAGCATCGGCTTAACATAAAGGCCGATTAATAACTTACTAAAATTAATGCAAAATTTATGTCGAGAGTTATCATAATGTTTTTCCCTTTTGTCTCGAACAATACGGAAGTAAAAGATATTAGCCTGAACCTGCCCATCTAGTTTGGGTAATACATTGTGTTACTCAACTTATCACGAAATGCTCAGTGCTTTAGGACTACAAACAATGATGCGGGATACTACTATTGATACATCTTGACTCTCATTAAATGGATCAAGCAGAACCACTACACAACAAGATTAATTGGGACAGGCTGATTATTTTACACTAAGCTGCCATTTAAGATTCTAAATTGCAATTTATAAATAATTAGTTGCGTTTCGTCGTTTTGTGAATTAATCTCCCTCATCCCATACAGGCCAAAAACGAGGTTTAAATGTTACAAAAAAGAATTCTCTTTAAGGGTTTCACTGTTAGGTTACTATATTGTCGTTTGTCAATTTTGATTGAACTTTGAATCCCGTTACAGCACACATTAATTTACAGCTTCGCTTTCAGTACTCATAGAAAGAGATAAATTATGCGGCGAAATCCACTAAAAAATCAGAAATACAAACACCATGCAAACTTTTCAAAAATTGGCATAGGTAAATATTATTCCTTTTCTGTCATCGGGATCAGAAAGCTAGATGTCAGTAGCAGGGGATTGCCTGATGGATTATCTGTTAAATGATCAATTCTGGATTATTTTCAGGAACATCCGAAGCCATTTCCTATCAAGACATTGTTATTATTATAAGCTAGTTAAAGAATAAAAATTCTCATGATTTGCTTTTTACTTACTTGATACCATGAATACACCACACAAATAATAGTAGAGACACATTTACCACTCATATAAAGAAGCGAGTATTTTCAGGGTGGCCACGAGGAGGCTTTTATCCATACATCTCGCATTTAGGTTTTGTCTAGAACGGGGATAAAATCGAAAAGATAATAGAAGCTGTGGGAGGAGACTCGATGGAAAAGGACTTACTTGATCAAATTGGACCGTAGTCAAATAAGAATGCAAAGTACACTTTTCCACCCTCTACAATGTGCCCCTGTTACCCTCCTGTGAGATTAAAACTATCTAAACCGAAAAGAAAAACAGCCTTAGCCGATAATGTCAGTATCTACCTCTTTGTCAATGCCAGCTCAAGTATTTTTATCCAGTTAAGGACGATCATCACATCCAAAGCAATGACTACCCCCTCGAAAAGATAGCACTCCTCTGGTATTCCCATCAACATTGCCAGCTCAGTAGTTGAAGCGAAATCTCTGACACTACCACGATCGTCGGAGCTATCATGGATTTTAAGTACACCTCACCACCTTTTTACGAGTGGGCGGAATATCCCGTGCAGGAATTTCTTCTAAAAAAGGAAGCCTTATCAAATTTCACTTGCCAATCATCGCAGCTGTAAAGGCCTGGCTGCTACGCAACTCTAATTTTTTCAAAAACCGTAATGTACAGCGATAGCAGAGTAGCAAGGAAAGTCGCCAATTAACTTATTTTTGAACAAATTGCAGTGTATTTGCTTGATTACAACGTCGATATGTTGTGATTCCTTACTGCTTTTTAAAAAGCCTACAGAAAAGGCGTAGACAGTGTACATTGTGCATCTATACTGGTCTTTATCACACCCCGGGCGTGTATTGACCTCGTAGGGTACTTTCCCAAAAGTATGTACCTAACAATATTTTTTTTTTAAAATTAACTCATATTATTTTATTTATGCACAGGTCACCCTCTCCCTAATATAGATGTTTTCGTTTTATGACTTCATAATTATTTTTGAAAAAGGGTACATTGTAACCGATACAACGAATAAGTTTTTACTAAATAATGTTCAACAAGAGTAGACTGTTGATCTCGTTTGCAGCAATAGCCAAGTTCATACTTTTTTGGTGTTAATGAAATTTGTTCATATTTAACATACCTGTCATCAATAAACTGCTCCCGTTACACAATTTTCACTGCAGCATCTCATTACTTATTCCACACATTATCGGTGGAATAAGAAACTCTGGTTTACATTAACTTTGTGTGACACTATGTCATGTTTTTTTTGCATCTTCACCATCGTCACAGGATTAGATAAATAGCTGTGAAAAAAATTAGTCTCATTATCCATGTAATTTTAGGAAAAAGAAAATACATCACAATAACTACGAATATTAGCGATTGTAGGATATGAGATGCGGATGACTTGAGTAAGGGCCATTCCCATTTAGTTGCTGGAACGCTTTGTTATTTTTTACATTTTATATTATGTAACTCCCTCATAAAAGATTCCACACCTTCCGCATGTTGAATTGAAATTGTAGCAATCATTACCTTAATCATCAGGTAGCACGACAACCAAATGTGAAACGTACTACATATTTACCTTGTGTATCAAAGGTTGCTGAACAAGCTAGAGAAAACGTTTTGTGGGGAATCAATAAAAAAAATAGTTTTAGATATACATACTAACAATGGGTCCAAAAATGCATTTTTATTTGTATCCACTTAGTTCACACAGTGCATTGGATAAATAGGTAAACAATCTCATAATCCAAGTGGAAATAATAATTGTCAGTGTTCCCGAAAGTTGAAAGGATTGACAAACAATATATTTTGATGGGACTTGCATTAAAGGTTTAAAATGACCTTACAATACAATGAGTTGTCAACCCAACCCCTCTCATGAGGTTGTCAGTCTATTTGATGGATTTTGTAGTAAAATAAAGAGTCCCTTATCCTTATAAAAAGGAGGATATATTCAAGCTATTTCTTGCCCTCAACAACTGTTTGGTACTTTTCAGTGCAAAGTAAGTCATAAACTAATAATCCGGGGAAAGAGAAAACTAAAAATACATCCAGGCTTTCATTTTCAATCTTTTTTTTTTTTTTCATCCATAATAATCAAGTTCAATACAATGGGTAGTTGCTGCTCCGATTCTGCGTCAGTTACTTCATGTAAGTCTATAAAAAAAACGCTCACTGTTGTACAAACAAGGCAACTAAACATGAATTGTATTTAAGCTTCAGGAATTTCTCTTCCTGAGCTTACTCCTTGTAGTTAAACTCCTAACATGATACGGAGTCTATAATATCATATATTTTTGAAAATAACCAATAAAAAAAGCATTTTTGCGGTCAATATGATGAATCTTTTTTTTATATATGCAATACGGTAGCCAGTGGTCTGTTTATGACAGGAAAAAGTCTTACATCATTTTCCCATTAGTTTACCAATTTTCGTCTTGGTTAAAGGCACTGTACAATTATCGAGATATTTCATAAACCAACTACAGTACGTGGTTTTAGGAGAGCTACATAGATCATGTTTGGAAAAATCGATAATATTTATTATAGCAGAGACAATGATTGTCAGTATGGACCAGGATCACTGTAATAAAAATAGATTGTTATAGCAACATAACATTCAATACCAACAGTTGTCAGCAAACGGGATGTTAAAAATGAACCACAAATAATTCAAGATAAATACCACGTCTTCTACTCAAAAAAAAAAAACTCACTTTCCCCTCTCTCACCTTTCAGTAAGTGTGTCTTCTTTTTAAAAAAGAAAAATGATGGACTATTTTAAAACCCTTCATTTTTTCATAGCTTTTTTTTTTTTCTTTGACAATATGGGTGGTTGCTGTTCTGGTGGATCTAGTCGATCACGTAAGTTGCGAGATCCAAAGTTACGAGAAAGAATTGACTTAGATGTTTTATTTAGCTTCTATATTTACTCTTCCGGATATCAGTGGGTCTACACCAAGATGTTCTGGACCACGTCGTTAATCACTGAGTCTTTATCTCTTGAAAATTAACCAATTTTTTTTTTTTTTTTTTTTTCATTTATCATGCAAATAAAATATAGTCGTGATAAAATATTAAGGCTGTAATTGGTGCCAAATAGATATGCATAGTTATCCCCCCCCCCTTGATTGAATTGTGGGTTCATGTTTTACATATTTTCGTATTAGAATTCCTTCTATCAAATGGTACATTCAACAGATTCTTCTTTTCAAAAAGAGAGAAAGCTGATTTGTATTACATTCTATTGGCATCATAAAAAGAGCACCACAAAAACGGATAGTGTGTATAGCCTGACGCCATTGTTAAATTACGGCGGCGCGTATTAAAAAAAAAACTACGCGCTTTTTTTTTTTTTGTATTCTCTCTTTTCTTTCATACATAAAACAATCATGACAAGTGTATCGGAAGAGTTTATAGAATCAACCGAGTTTAAAAATAAACTGGAAGAGTAAAGTAATATCCTTACCGCTTAGAAAATACCTTTATCAATTAACCTAACTTTTTTTTTTATATATATATTAAATAGAATCATTCGCAATGGTGATTTAAAGTAAGCTCATAGATACCTGTCTTTTTTTTTTATATACATATAAAACAGAGCACAGCCTTGTCTAACTTCTGTTTTCTTATGAAAAAGAGAATTAACCGCCGCTGTCATTCGTAAGAAACTGGAAACTCATTTTGTAAGCTCAACGCCCCCCTTTTTTTAGACATCAACGTATAAACTAACGAAAATACGTACAAAAAAAAAAGGATCTTGAAAGTGGAGAATTAAAGGGAGCACCATGGCGAACCATGATAAATGCCATGATTGACAAAACCATCATTGACCAAACCCAAGATCCTGCACCTGTTCAAAAACGCAAAGCACAAAAAACCTTAGAAACTCCCATCAAGAAACGCAAACCCACAGCAGACCCTATCAAACATTCGCTGTCCAATCCTACTGAGGCAAAGCCTACGAAAAAGCAACGATCACCTAAATTATTTGATTCGGATTCAGAAGAAGAGGTTGCGGTTTATTCGGAGGACAAGAAACCCAGCCAAAAAAAGAGGGTCCAATTCGCAGACTTACCTAAACAAAAACAAAAAAGATCGCTCGTGTATTCCGATGAAGACAGTGATGAGGAAAAGCCAAAGAAAAAAGCGGTCAAGAAAATGAAGAATAGCTATCTCGAGGATGATTCTGAAGAAGAGAGTGAGCAAGAAGAGAAGCCCAAGAAACGTGCATCCAACAAGAAGTCTGCTAAAAAGATCATGTCATCAGATGAAGAGGAAGAGGAGCAAAAGCCCGAAAAGTCTGCTAAAAAGATGATTGTATCAGACGAGGACGAGGATAGTGAAGAGGAGCAAATGTCCAAGAAAAAAGCATCCAAGAAAGCTTCTAAAAAGATGATTACATCTGATGAAGAAGAAAGTGATGAGGATGAAAAACCCAAAAAACGTGCTCCTAAAAAGAAGTCTATTCTTAAAAAGACTACTCAATCTGACGAAGAGGAGAAGCCCAAAAAAACGGCACCCAAGAAATCTACCAAGAAGATAATTATGTCGGATGAAGATGAGGATAGTGAGGAGGAAGAACAAAAGCCCAAGAAGTCTGCTAAAAAGATTGTTAGTTCTGATAGTGAGGAAGAGGCACCTAAAAAGGCAGTCAAAAAGATTGTTGAATCAGATGAAGAAAGCGAAGAGGAAAAGGCTCCTAAAAAGACTGCTAAAAAGATTGTCGAATCGGATGAAGAGAGTGAAGAGGAACAAAAAACCAAGAGAAAGACCACTAAAAAAATGACGAAAAAGATTGATTCATCTGAAGAGGAGGATAGTGAGGAGGAAACCCCCAAGAAAAAGACTATTGCATCTGACGAGGAAAGTGAGGATGATGAAACCCCCAAGAAAAAATCCTCCAAGAAGTCCACTCGTAAAGAGAGTGATGATGAAGAGAAACCTAAACCCAAATCCGCACCTAAAAAGCCCACTCGTGTAAGATATTTTTCTCTTCTACTCATATACGCACTTACATGAAACTCACCACTTTTTTTTTTTTTTTTTTTTTTACTTGTAGCCTCAAGGATCCGCAAAAGATGAAGAATCTATTAAACGTCTTCGTCACTACTTAACAAAATGTGGTATTTCGTATTTCTCTTACCGTGTTCCCGTCTCTCAGTGTACTTCCGCTAAACAAGAAATCGCTGTGCTCAAAGACGAATTGAAAAAAGTTGGCATTGAAGGTGTACCCACCTTGGAAAAATGTGCGGCCATCAAACGAAAATTGGATTTACAACGTGAGGTGGAAGGATTGGATACCAGCTTGATTATCGAAAACGAAGGTGGTAGACCCAAGCGAGGAAGAGGAGTTCAACGTATGACTTCTAAGCCCAAGTATGATGTGGATTCTTCTAGTAGTGAAGACTCATCTTCTGATGATGACGATGATGACGATGACGATGACGAGGAAGAAGGAGAAGAGGAAGATGATGATAAAGAAGAGGAAGATGAAAAGCCCAAAAAGAAACCTGCAAAAAAGGCTAAACTTGACAGTGATGAAGAAGACGATTTTGAAGATGAGGATGGATCAGATGAGGTATATATACATACGCTGTGAAAGAAGAGGAGGATATACTAATTTGTATTATTTTCTTTTGAAAAGGATTAAGAAACATTTATATATATATATATATGTATATTTAATATATCTAGCTGCTAAAATAATTAAAATGGAAGAAAGATTTTTTTTCTGCAGGAGGAATGATATCAGTGATACGAAGTGGGTGTGCCTCTGTATTAAACACCCATTCATTGAAAGGAAACCGTGGACTTTGAGGATCGTCAAAGATCAAGTATAGATATTTGAGCGTTTCCGCGAAAAAGAAACTAAATGTGAATCATGTTAATTTCACATACAGTTTATGTTTGTAAAAAACATAATGAGATGTATACCTTTCTTCTCGGTCATCCCATGTGTTTTCTGTTACATCGACGCGATGAATACCGGTATAGCCAGACTTTGTTTTACAATAAGTATACAGTGAATTGAAAATATCCCATGCCATATCCTGATACATGGGATCTTTTGTATACACATAAAAATAATACAACGATTCAATCGTCTCTGGTCTTAGAATATATGAAGGGTGCACTGGATACACTGCAGGTCTTTTCCCTTCCAATGTTCTATACTTTCTAGAAGTATCCCATGAAAATATCTCGGGCGCTAATCCCGTTAACGTTAAATCCCAAGCACTATAACATCCTGCCATCAATCGTGTAGCCTCTTTTTCAATATATCCAAATTCGGGAAACGTGCGTGCTGCTAGTAATAAACTTCCCGGTGCAAAACAAGCTAATTCGTCCATCTGAAGATTGAGTTTACCGCCATCTAGGACTGCCAAAAATGCAGAACGTCTGTCAAAGGGAGCATCGACTAATAGATTATCTTGTAAACTAGTGATGATTTGTGACACCATTTCTTTTTTTATGGAATCATGACCTCTTGACACCACTAATTGCTTAATCAGGTACTATAAGCTTGTTGTTAATGGACGGGGTTCCATTGTTTCGTCTATTTTTGGCTTACCTCGTAGAAACTATCACCCATACCACCCCACGTAACATGATCTTTTTTTTAATTGTTAATACAAGGTGATCATTGTTTTAAATTTATTGACATACCTCCAATGGGCTCACCAGTATTGACGTTAATAAGATGAGGAAATAAACCAAACGCTCTCATACTATGCTTCTTGATAAACACATCATACACATGCTGACCCTGGGAAAAAAAAAAATTGAAAAAATTAAAATTGGTTAGTGTGCATGTCACCAGATGTCTCATTGTATATATATATATAACCAACGAACCGCATAATGATATTTCCAATTACCAGTGATCTCAGATAGTCTTGTGAATTCAAGTTGAATTGTACCTATTTCTGCTAAACAAGCCGATGCTCCTCTGATAGGCTCACCCCTTTAATTTTTTACATGCATGTTAAAAAAAAAGGGATAGCGTTATAACAACAGAAGAAAAAAAAAAAAGGGAAACTTACGTGGTAAAATTGATATATTGATAAGGAATACCTGTGGGTGTATCAAATGCCGGCATCAACTTGTCCACTAATTCCACTGCTTTTGTAACAAAGACTTTTTCCAATGATAAATCATAAGCGGATAATAACCCACCCACATAACGAATTACAGTTTCAAATAATTGCACAGGTTCATCTTCACTCACTTTATTCCAATCGATACGCGATACAAAGTCTTGAGCTTCTTTAAATTCCTTTTTTAAGCCCATGATGTACAGTGTATCCAACCCATCCACAATCGTCGCACCCCATCCGTTTCTATTATTATTAAATGTTAATCTAAACATGGATATGTAGGTTACTGGTGAATTTACCGAGTGTTTCTAGGTTGGTTAGTGACAGGCTTATTCTCATCATATCCCCAACTATAGTTCCGATATCCTTCCCAGGAGAACATAAAGGCGTCCTTGATATAATGCTGCTTTTCCTTGGGAGTGAGCACATGAGCATCAGGTAACCCTCCGTTCTCTAGTCGGATCTGCTGTCGCGTCTTGATGAATATAGGCCGTTGTTCAAAGAACGATTCAACCATAGTCAATACACATAGTGTTGAAAACCCAATGATATACTTTTTCAGTGTCATTTTTTTTTTACGGAAAGAAAAAAAAAAAGAGAGAGAAAAAGGGGGGGAAAGAAATAGAGCATTTTTATGCAAAATAAAATAAATAATTAAAACAATGGGAGGGGATGGTCACACTTTTTCTGTGTTTATAGTTCAATTGGAAAAAAAAAAAAAATTATTGTTTATACATCTTTTTTATCTTCAACAATACAATGAGTGACGAGGAAGAGGACTACATGTCCACGAAATACTTGGAAACAGCTCAAGCGTTTGAATCAACACGAAAAGAAACTTACTCAGAACGTCGCAAGAAACAATTACGAGAACAACAAGAAAAGGGTTACATTAAACCTCGTGCGCAACTCGAAAAAGAGGAACGTGAACGCGGTCTCAAGCAACACATGGACGAAAAGAATAAAGGCATGAAAATGTTGATGAAAATGGGCTTTAAAAAGGGTACAGGTTTGGGTCAACAACAATCAGGCATCATGGAACCCATCGCCATTGATTTAAAAGCAGGTCGATCAGGTATCGGCATGGACACCCAACTTTTAAAACGGGCGCGAGAAGCTGAGGAAGAGGAAGCTAGAAAAAGAGTCGAAATTGATCCGGAGGACTATCGTCTCTTGATGGCTCAAAGAGCAAAAGACGCTCAATATTCACGTTACATTGCTGCGGCTGTCTCTGTATGTGAGAAATTAGACGAAGAGAATAAGGTGGAGTCCAATATCTTGTGGACATTGAAACCTGCTACTTTATCAACAGAGGAAGAAGAAAAGGAAGGGGAAGCGGAGGAGGAGGAGGAAGAAGAAAAGAAGCCAGTGTACCCTCAAGACATGGTGGACAAATTAAAAGCCTTAAGCCTGGAACATCAATTAGAAGCCTTGGTAGAATACCTTCGAGATACCTATTTCTATTGTTTTTGGTGTCGTGCCAAGTACGATGACAAGCAAGATCTCGACACTAATTGTCCTGGTACAGAAGAAGACGATCACTAAAAATAAATCATAAAATTGTAAATACCGCAACCCCCACCCCCCATTTTTTTTTTATTATTAGCATGAAATATGCGTCATGTTTCTGCTGACATTAAAGCATTAATTTTTTTTTTTTTTTCTCATATAAAAATCCCATGCTATGTTAAGGTTTTTTTAACCCGTTTTCCTTTTATCGTAAAAAAAAATATGACACCTCCTGCAAATACGCATTATTATCGCACAAAAGGATTTATTTATGATTTGGACGGTACTTTGATTGATACGATTCCACTCGTTGAACGTCACTGGCACCAATTCGCGCTCGAACACGGTCTTGATGGCAACAAGGCAAGTTTCCATGACAACTTTTTTTTTTAAAAAAATATTACATTTATACTTAACCACCATATAAACAGATTCTGGAGACAAGTCACGGCGTACGCACCATTGAAACTATGGCGCGATGGACTCCCGATAAGGCCACAGCAGAACATGCCGACATGTTCGAAAAAAAACTAGCAGAGGAATCAGAAGGTGTCAGCATCTTACCCGGTGTCTCTGCTTTACTTCAAAAGACCCCAATTCACAAATGGGGTATCTGTACCGGAGGTAATCAATACATGGCTCGTAAACGATTAGAGCAGTGTCAAATTCATACACCCGACGCCTTTGTCTGCGGCGACATGGTACGAGAAGAAGAAAAAAAATGCATTATTATCTTGATATAAAAAAAAAACTAACATGATGATAAAATCATAGGTGAGCAAAGGAAAGCCGGATCCAGAGGGATATAGTCGTGTGGCAAAAGAGTTAGGATTGGAAGGAAAAGATGTGATTGTGTTCGAGGATGCACCTTCTGGAGTGAAATCAGCGCGTGCTGCTGGCGCTACTGTCATTGCATGTGCCACAACTCATTCTGTAGACCAATTAAAAGAGGCTGGTGCACATAGTGTTGTTCATTTCTTGACAGATGTGGATTTTACTAGCTTACCTGATGGTACCTTTGAAGTCGAAGTTAAAAACGCCCTTTAGTAAAAACACAAAATATATATTTATGTACACTTTTTTATTTTTATTCAATTAAAAATAAAAAATTGGATCTTGTTCGATTTTCTGGAATTCAAAGATACCACTGTTGCACACATACAAAAAACAAAAAATATTTATAGAAAAAGTTTTAGATAGGTGGATTCAAATATAAAGAAAAAAATGATATGGAAAGACCTTACCCTAGTTGCTCATTGGCATTGGCGATATACAGCGACTGATCTTCTGGTGTAAAAGCTAATATGATGATTTAGCATTTAAACGATGGCGTGATTTACATTACTTACAAACACCCGCGATGTCCCCAAACATATCAATCACTTGACTCGATTCATAATGCTCCGTTTCATAGATATGCACAAAATCGATAGGTTCTGATAAACATGAAAAAAAAAAAAAAGCTTAAATATTTTTTTATCTCTCCCCACATATGTACATTCAAATTTACCTGCAGCGGCTAAATAGTGGCCGTCATGCGAGTAATGTAAAGATCGAATAGCTCCTATATTGGATCCCAGAACATGCACAGATTTCGACGTATTGCGTATATCGTAGATACGTGTAGTTTTATCTTGGTTACCTGTCGCAAAGGTCCTTCCGTCCGGATGCCAACAACATGCAAATGAGTAATCGTGGTGTTCATTGATCGAAAGGATTGCTTTTTTAAAACATTTATGTGTCAGAAATTATCCATTTTAAGCTAATCTTTTGTTATTTTTTTATCCTTACATTGGCCACTATCGGCATCCACTACCAGAGTTTCTGTCGAATCCCCAACCAAACACAGCATCCTACCATCAGGTGACAACGAAGAGCACTATGTCATAGTTAATATAAATGATGTATTCTTCTTTTGTGTATATTAAAAAAAAATAGGGAGTCAAAGCTTACATTGGCAGCAAAGGGGAGGGTGAGTTTCTGCTCAATCTGAGCAGTTTCGAGATTAATACACTTGATACTTGCATCATTATTTGACACGATACCCAGAGTAGCGCCCTTCCTATCTTTGACGATATCTGTATAATTCGTGATACCCATACTTCGAGATTCATTGGTGGTATTAATAGTACAATGGTCCTGTACGACTTTCCATACACATTCACCTTTAAATCCGCCCGCGAATAAGACTCCATGTGCACAGGCCATACTTGTGATTTTTAAAGAGACACTGCCTGGTCGATTGGCTGTGGCCAAATCAATGACTTGTGAACTTTGCCGACGTTGTGGAGACCATTGACGTACGGTATCTCCCCAAACATAATAAATGTTGTTTTTATTGGCGGCCCATAATAGATTTCGTAATTGGAAGTGACCGATGCTACAAGGTTCATTGAGTTTAGAGGATTTGAAAGTGTAGTATTCTTCATTCGGTGTTACTTGTTTTGTCTCCTGTGCCTATAAATAATTTAGGATTGGTGCATGTTATAGAAAGAGGGTGTATGTGTGTGTATGTGTTGAAGTGTTTATTACTTTGATCTTGTTTTCAATGGTGAAATCATCATCTCCACTTTTACAGCTAAGGTACGTATCGTATTCTCTATTTCTGATTTTATTCAAAATAAAAGATGAACAAACAAAATAATAACAATAAAAGCTTAATTTTTAGATATAAACCTTTGGCTTCTGTATTGATCTCGGGTACTCGTCTCCTTAAACCAATCAATCCCTTGCTAAAATAAAATCATCACAAAAAAAAAAAAATAACAATCAAAATTATGCAATTTTTTTTTTTTTTGTATTTATAAGCTCCGTTTTACCATATCGATACCCCTTATACACATTTCTTCCGTAATCATACCGTCCTATATTTTAAGTAAAGAATAAAAAAGGTAAGCTTTTCTTTTTCTTCCCTCTTTTTAGACAATGAAGTCATACCGTCCTAGTGGGTTTTGCTTCGCCCGTATAGTTTCTTAAATGAGGTAAGCTTATAAAACTTTGAGATTCCGTAGAAGCTAAATAAAATAAAAATAAAAATTGAATGAGAAAGGACACGTAAAAACCCTTCAACTCTTGAACAAATGTACCATAGTCTGTTGCATTGTGGACTTGAAAGAAGTCGTCCATTGGTTCGTGTCGTAAAGATAACATTTTTTTTTTTTTTTAATATGTACAAAGAAAAAAGAAAAAAGAAAATCAGTTTCTTTTTTTTCTTTTATATACGTGAGCGTTGTTTAAATAAATTGAGTTAAAAATTGCATTAAAAAAAATATATAAATGAGCCTACACTCTAAGGAAGGACTTTTCCGTAAAGATCACTTGATCAAGTACTGCGTTAAAACGGGATTATTTTTTTACTCAACTAGTATCATTGTTAGGCTTGTTACCAAGTAAGTCAGCTTGTTAATATACAGCCGGTCGAAATATCATTAGTAATGAGTTTTTCAAGCATAGAAACAAGGTTTTTGCAGGTAAGTTTTGTAATTAGTAGCTTCTATATTGAACTGGGCTTTTATAAAAAGGAGCCTCTATTTTTTCTCCTACTACGTTAGCAGCCTTTCACATTCTATTCTTTTTTTATTTAAATCACCTTGATTACTGACCTCATTCTGGCAATGAGGCTTTTAGGGACAGACAAATTGTACTAGGCACAATTGGGGTGCGCTTAGTTATGATGTAAGATCAAATACCTTAATTGGCATCAAGACGTCAATATAGGTTATTGTCTTAAAGCCAATGCAAATTCATTACAATACACGCATTTTTATGATGTCTGCGTAGTGTATAGCTTACTTTCATCTTATCTTTTGGATATACCCTATTTAGATCAATAACGACCGCAAGAGTAAAAGAGTATCAATTGAATTGTCAAAATAAGTGCCGTTCATTGAAGATTCAATATTCCCTATTACATTAATTTCGATTGTATATACTTTTTTTTTCAATTCGTAAGGACAGTTGCATAAAAAAAAGTGTAGCATTCGTCTCTCTCTCTTTTTTACCTCTGGCCTCTAATTTACTTCCCATGAACAGACTGAAAATCTTTACTATTTTTTCGAAAAAATGGCTTTATAATGTGAGTCGAGAGTGACATGCTGAACATTATAAACTAAGAATGTCAGTAAATAATAATTTAAGTATTTAATGGGTAATTTCTTACTTTTATTCTCTTGTTGCTTAAAAACGTTTTGGTTAAAGCACATAATTTTTTATTTTTTATTGTGTTGGTGATAAAATATAATGGATAAGCAATAAGATGTATAAAAATAAAGACAAAGTCAGAAATTATATACACGCAATGTGTATATATGAAAATTATTCTGAGCTGTTAGGTTTGTAGCTGACCCATCTTGTCTTTTTTTTTTTTTTTGGGTTCGGTTTTAGGCTTTGATGAAGCAGTAGAAGTTATAAGATTGTTGCTTACAGTTGGAGAAGGCAAAATTGTGGGTTGCTGTTAGATAGCTCCGGAGTTGGAGGGAGCGGACGAAGGAAAAGAAGTAGCTTGCATTGGAAAAGCAGAAGGTAAGGTTGGAAAGGTCAGATTGGTATTACCGTTAGCATTCTGGGAAGCGTTGTTAGTAGCCATGAACAATTGCATTTGAGCATGAAGACACTGTTGCTGCAGCATAATAATTTTTATATCATTCGATAACTGTTAGGTTGAGCTCATCAGAAGCTGATTTTGCTGATTGCTTTGGCCAACGTAGTTATTAAACGAGCTTTCGATATTTTCGAGTCTGATGTCTTGTCTCTGCTGCAATCGTACGATTCGATTATTGGCATCCGTAACTCGGCTGGCTACTTCTTTATGGGTATTAACCAAGTTGGGTACAAGGCCTTCGTACTCTTCTAATTTGCCAATAGAAGGATTACTAATAGCAGCTACAATGTCTTCCCTGAAACATTTTGAATTCATTACAAGAAAACAAGGCACTTTTACTATTGACACACTTGTTTTCCTTATTCAAGTAGAAGTACACTTCTGCATCTTGTAAAGTTATTCTTCTACGTCTAATCAATAAACGCAAAAAACCTCTTTTTGCTGTATCAATACTGCTCTGGGCTTTCTGCTTTCCTTTTCCTTTTGATCTTTTTTCTTTTAAAACCATTTTCCCATCTTCTTCAACAAACTCAACAGGATTGGTCTCGTTTGTGATTTCTAAATTAAAAATATTATCATCTACTTCTTTCATCTCCTTTTCGCATGCAGCCTCCCATTCCAGATTTCCGTAACCAAAGTAGGTCTCAATCCAAGGAAAAATCTTTTTTGCAGATCGATAGGGGGACTAACGCTATTTCTTGCTAATGAAAAAGGTTTCTCCCAGAATCCTGCCATACCTCTAGCAAAAGGAGAAGGAAGTTTTCCCAAATAGTGCGTTTCTAAACGACCAAGACGATCTTTCCAACCTCCACCTCGTTTGATAAGATCAAATGGAATTCCCAAACCTTCCGCTTCCATTGATCCAGCATGTCGTCCACCATGCGTTACTCTGGTGGTATGTATATCCTCGCTTGCAAGTGCCTTTTTCGCTGTCTTCCATTGCGAGACGCCACTCAAACTTTTCTCGGGACCGGCACGTCCACGCAAAACCTTATAATTATGCCATCTTTCTTCATTCAAAAAGTTGCCATTATCCTATTTTTTTTTTTTTTACGAAAAAAAAATTAGCATTCAATGTTAATTTCTTTTTTTATATCAACATACTTGAAGTAAACTAAACATCAAAAATCTAAAAGCACCAAAAAGGGCACCGAAAGATGTTTTCGTGACGCATTGCACAAGCAAATTTTACTTCACCTTCTTTGAGAGTTTTGCCCTTGGCGGGATTAAATACCAGAGCTAAAACTTGTTGCATTCCTTTGTGCTGGTTCCTATGGAATAATGGTACAAAAACAATCTGCAAAGTTTAAATTTCTTCGATCTTGATCCCCGAAGTAGCATATGGTTGACGAGAGGAGATCGAAAACATTTCCACGCAAACCTGTATCACTACTGGAAATCCAAAGGTTTTTTTTTTTTTAAAGATTCTAATGAGTTCACCGGATTTATATGAATCACGAGTAACGCAATGTGCTGCTCTGTCTACATTTGTTTGTACTTGACCGTACACAAGTTCATGCCCATATTTTTTTTTTGATTGATTTAATGACTTCCTTAGTTTTCTTAGGAGAAGGATTAGTCAACTTCTCTGCAACTTGATTGAAATTCATGCAAGAACATCAAAGCTTTTTTGTATTGATTGACAGCTTCAATTCCCAATGGAACTTCAAAAAAAAATTTACCGCCCTTCTTATTAGAAGGAGCTTTCTCTGCCACTAAGGGAGATGTTAGTAATTGAGTACAATTAAATCAGCTCCATATTACTTTGCAATAAAGTCAATTGACTATCCGAATTCTCAGTTTGTATACCAATCTGGGTTCTAACATCGGTGTCTATGGAAACATCTTTCTTGTAAGTGCGCTAAAAAGCATTCCTTAAAGAAAGCAACAACAAAATCAGTAGGACCAACAGTGTATGGGTACTAAGGTTCAACTGGATATCTGTTTTGGTTGTTTTCACAAAATTCCTATAATTTATGAAGTACCAAAATAAGATTAGCATTTTGTTATATAAGAAAAAAAACCAAAACAAAAAAAACAAAAAAAAGATTTAATGGGCTGTAACATACTTTCCAGTGTTCCAAAGGCATTCTGTAAGTTGCTGCAGTGCTCGCTCGCACTTGCATCAGTAAAGCCTTTATAGCTAGTTCAAACTCGGTAACGTCAAAATATCTATTGCTTCGGGAAGTAATTAAATGTCCTTGAGTGACAGTAGCAGATGAAGAAATAGCAAAAAAATCCACCAGAGGAAGATCTATCAAAAGATGCAGCTACTACGCTTCTATTCAGCATGTCACTTTTTGATGGACGGCCGCCTGCGAGCTTTCTTGGGCTCTTCTTCTACAGACGTATTTATAACAGTATCCTAAATAAAATTATCTTTCATTAATCTTGTTGTATGTATAATGCATCTTATGTATATATTTTTGTACATGAATTTCACTAGCAGTTTCTTTGTTTTGTTGGTCGTATTTTTTTTTTTTTTTCTTCTTCGGGAGTTCTGACAAGAGGTCTCTTGGAATTGGTGTTTTTTAGTAGACATGGGGTTCATAATAAAAGGATTTTAGAAGAAAAGGTGTTATCAATTTTTGATGTTAATTAAACTTTACACTATTTTCATAAATTATTCGCACACCCCTAGGAAATAAAACGGAAATTTTCAGAACTTAAAACGTCTGATTTTTACACAGGTGTGATTTTCACATATATTTTTTTGACAGAGGAATCTAATGTATCGCGGGAAAACATTTAACCGGGATCTATCTGATTAGATTTTTATGAATTTTTTGCATTGTAAAACACCTCCCCGGATACATCTTTGGGTCTCCCCCCGCTGTAAATGGCAAATTTTGTTTTGCCATCTGTAAAAAAAATTTTGTGTGAAAAGAAAAAATTCGAGCTCTATTAGTTTATGAAGAATTCTCTAATAAAGAACATAATAGAGCCGGATTTTTGATACATGTTATATTCATCGAGGAGATAGCGTTTTTCATTTTTTTTTTTTTTTTTTTTTTTTTTTGGAAATCAGAGCTGTAGTCATTATAGTGACGGTATAACAACACAAGCTTGCGTTTGCTCTCTTTAATTATCATATATAACAGCTAATATAAGCACTACGACAGGATCTTAAGATGTTACATATTCCTAAAAAAAAATGAAGTCGCAAATGATTACAATACAATTTCCAAGATAAATTAAAGATAGTAACACGGTTGATAGACTTTTTTTTTTTATAAGCGCGCTTAAACTATTTATTTGATATCAATGAGAGCTTATAAACAGTATGAAATGACTCTTACAGCTCTTATAGTTTATCCGCTTACCTGAGATCCGACACGAAACCGCACTTCATTCATTAACATATCTCTACTTGATGGCCAGTATTACAAATTTCTTCAAACAAATTTTTGACATCTCTTTCAAATGATCCTTGGTGGTCATAGACTTGCTATTACCTTTTTTTTCTATGTCTAATCATACGCATCATCCTAATGGTGGTGTCCATGAATGTATTGCATGAGATGACGAATACAACGAATTCAATCGGATCTAAGTAAGTTAAAAGAAGCAGTTCATTGTACCTGGTACCAGTCATTTGTCAATTACTTTAATCCTCTAAATACCGTTATTCACTTGATATGTGATTAAACCATGAGTAATCCAAGTATCATCAGGGGACGAGGGCTGAAAACGGTTGGCAGCTTTTAAAGCCTTGTAGTCCTCGCTGTCAAAGTAATCAGAAATGGTTCCTGGATTTTCCTTGCGATCGTCACGGTAGCGTAACTTTTGTCGTATTTCCTCATGACTTAAAAGCTTAGATAGCTGATCACCAACGGGCTATTTTGGACTGGAATCAACGCACTTTTTAGGATATTAGTTTCAGGTAAAATGCCATCCGTGTTTTCATGGTTGATTTCAGTCTCATTGATTTGTTGTAGCGTTGCTTCGGGTAATTCCAAAGGTGCCGGCATCGGTGATACACATGGGTCGCCTTTTTAAAATAATTACGGTTACAAGTACTTGCATACATGATTCCATTGTCTGCGTAGGCTAGTGCGCGTTTTTTAAGTAGACTATCTGGTGTTAAAGCACTAGTAATAGTTCTTAAAGGATAAGACAGATATAGGTTATTAACAACGATGTTAATAATAAAGTAGTTATGAAAGTGAGCACCAGACTGGAAGTAGTCAACGTAAGAAATCTTATTAAATTTAAAAAGATAATCAACGATAATTTTAAGAGGGCGTAAGCAATCTGAATATACAGTAATTGCCAAGGATAAAAAGAAAAGTAATAAACAATATCTTATATACGGTTTGATAATAATGAGATTCAAGTCGAGTGTCAAAGATGAACTTTGATTGAAATGTTACATGATAAGTAAAGACTCAAGATAAACAAGAAGTATAAAAGTTGAGGGAAACACAAAGGAGTTAATTACAAATTATAAGAAAACTAGATTTTAGTCAAGATAAAACTGTTGTAATATTTATTCGAAAAAAGTGGGCATATCTATAGGAAATATCCTATCCTATGTAACACCAAGTCAATTTAGATTGGCATAGCCCCTATCACATTTACGAGTTTTTGGAATTGTGAGCTTGTCTCATCACAAACGTCAAGTAAATCCGATGCAATGGATTTTTTTATGTTTCCTTTCTACATCAGTTCTCTAGCAATTCTGTATAATTTTTGTATAGTTGCATCGTCTTTATGTTCCATAGACATCAATGATGGTTTTCGTTTACAAAAAAAATACCCCAAATAGCCAACAATGGGTGAAGTGAAGTTTGAATAAGGTCCTCTTTATTTGTATCATGAACAATAAAAAAAAATGTTTAACAAAGGAATCCTGCATTACCTCCGGATGCATAAGACTGTTCAGAAGAAAAACGCAGAACGCAAAGCCAGACACAGCAGGTAATTGTATATCCCGGCTTAAGGAGACCATCATCTCCGAGGTGAGATTCAGCAACTCGCGGACATAGGCGAGATACTCGTCGACAAAGAAATGGATAAACGCACCGTTCGATTGAAGGCGGCTTTAAATAAAAAGAAAATGTTAGATTGTATACATAGATATAATGTCAATGATAAAAAGAACTTACTGCAGCCCATCCATTAATTTGCGAACGAGTATGTCGCCCACATCCGCCGCACTTACACGAACCTCCAAACGAGACGTAAACTGCGTCTCCTGATGCTTATTCAGGCAACGTTCGTAGAAGTTCTGTTTAGAGAAGAATGAAAAAAATTTAGGCAAAGACAATACAAATAATACTACATAAACACTTACAATCCCTTGTCTCCAGTGACCAGACGCGTGGTTGATCGTATCCCGAGACTTGGAAGGGGACCAGTCCTCACCGACGGAACCGTTGAAACCTGGTCTTGCTCTGGTGAACGGGATCTTGACATCGTTGTACATTATGACCTTCCAAGCTTCATTAATGCCTGGAGCGGGATTAGTGCCGCTCATGCCACCGAAACGGCCAAGACACATGTTTTGACACTCCGAAACGGTACCATTGCCACCGAAAAGCTCACCAGCAACAGAACAGAACTCTTCTTTTAAAAAACTGATAATTGGACGGTTATCATCATCAGAGACCGCAAAAAAGTTCAACCCAATGTCAACCCTTGTTTGGACCGCAGCCAACTGATGCCAGTCAATCATATTACTGAGAATGGCAGTATGAGTGAGTCTACGAAGAGGAGCCTTAAAGCCAAACGCGGAAAGGACAAACCGGAAGTGACGGAACATCGCCAAAGATTCTTTTTCGCGGACCAAACTCTATGGCTGATGTGTTGATTGTTGTAAAAAACTTTGTTGACAGAATCAATAACAGTTGTTGATTCTGTCAACAAAGATGTTAACCATCTTTTTTTTTAAAAAAAATTCTTGATACACGTAGAATTTGAAAAGCAGTCTTAATGATTTATTTTTTGTCTGCGTGTCGGGCTGGGAGGTGCTTTGTAGATTAATTCTCAGAATAGTACTGTGCTTCCACTCTATGTGATACACCCCTCGCAAACGTTGTTTCTTCAATTGCTGGTTTATCACTCTGTGCCCAACCTCTTAAACGACGCATATTTACATCGAATCCTACTTCATCAAGTAAAACACAACTCTTCATGAAATGCAAACCCTTGTTTTGCTATTCCACAATCCAGTTTGTGCGAGCCTCCAGAGTCTTCTGACTATTTCTGTCCTTTGGATGGCGGTTGACAACTTTTACACTGAGATTTCAATTTTCTTTCATGAATTCAGCAACCTTACTCTTTTTTTATTTCCAAACCTTCAAAGCTTCTGGTTAAATTTTCGACTGCATCCTGGATAACAGCTGAGGAATTCTCATCGAAAAAAGTTGATCAAGTGCATTTTGTGGTTCTCATTTAGTTGACTTAGTGCTCTGTTTGATGTATGATTCGTTTTTTTTTTAAAGGGTATCTTCTTCTCAGGGTCTCTTTCGTACTCTCTCTTCCACTTCCTCGCAGTTTCAGGATTAACGTTGGCAAGTTCAACTGCCTCAGCGGGTTTCATCAACTTTTTCATGCAGGAAAAAGAAATATAGTAGTCGATCCTCGTTTGTGTAAATGTTATAAGTTGAGCTTCTTTCCTTCTTGATGGCTCTTCGTATCTAGATTACATTCAATATGACTCTACATATAAAGCTTATAAATGGATTATATATATTTTTTTTTCAAGAAGGCATTGGAGCAATGATAAGTATATATTTAATTATTATTAATAATGAGGGGAAGGGTTTTGTGGATTATGATTTAATTTAAATCAAGGGCATGATTAATCAGGGCCTCCTTCCATGCAAGTATACTTGGTATTTGATTTACATATGCAACTAATTTCCTTGGTGTATTTGGGATATCAACAACTACATCAACTGTCCTATACATTACACCATCATAATGAACAAGCTTCTCAAAGTAAATGTTATGTCCTATTGCATTGTAAAAAAGGAGATTTAGTGTAAGGTATTATTAAATAAGAAATATTCTTACCAAAACACCTCATACAAAACATTTTATCAGTTTTAATATCTTCCATAACTTTCACCATATTAGTGTACAACTTTTCGATATCCTTTGCGTTCTTTCGAGAAGAGGTCTTATCATTGATACCTCCAGAGAATTCCACTAGTCCAGGAGCAATCATTTTGTTACCAACTTTGAAAATGATTCCGTCGAATTTGGTTCTGTCGGTAGAAAAAAATTCTCTCTCCAACCAGCCAAGTTCTATTACATCATTGTTCGAGATGAACAACTGGTTTACAATAAATATGATTAGACAGGTTGTTGCTGTTCTCTCCAACATAACTGTATTCAAAGGACTATTCGGTGAGTTCATGAAATCCAGGCTATAAATGTATGGATTGGCAATATGTCAATATAAATAATAAGCCCACGAAAGGTTTCTTTTTGTATTACTTACAAGTGTCTGACTGTAACTTCGATAAAACCAATATCATGATTTACAATGAGATCAGAGTTATCGTGAAATCCTTGACGATAAAGTGCATTTCGTAATCCCTGTACGGACAGAGGTGTATCATTAAGACCTTTGATAAGTGTATTTGCTTGGACGGACATGGGATTTAGATCAATTTTGCTTGCTTTCATTATAGACTCAAATTGAGCAGCAGAAGTCTCCGCTTTTAACATTTCCTCAGCTATTTGTAACGATAAATCTATTATTTTCAAGTCTCCAACTCTACTCGATTTGCATTATTAGTTGTGTAAATGAATGAAAATATGAACGCTAACAAATACTTACACAGTCGATGGAAGGTTTGTTGTTTGTGTCATAACCCTTTGGGTGATACTATCCTCTGTAAATTCGTCTTCCGCAGATACTTCAATATTATTATTCTAAGTAGTTCATTAATCAATTATTTATCCATAAGCAGCTTATTATTGAACTCCCTTGGATTGAAGTATTACCATTTGCGCAAAGTGTGGAATATGCTTAATTGTTAATTCCTTTAATCGTAATACTGTTTGTTGATTTTGGGTTCTCATAGTTCTTTGCAACTTTATGTCCTCATTCTTCATCTTCCAATATTCTTCATACCGTTTACCAAACTTAGAATTAAGCTTTCGTGACTAATAAAAATAGTATTTGCATCAAGCAATACGGGATTTTTTTTCATATATACTTACGTTGTACAACGTTTTTGCAATAGAAGCAATCTTTGTCAGCTTATTACTTTGTCCAGATGACAACTTTTCAAGAAGGTCTGCATAATGGTAGTTTGTTGCGCTCTCTGAACCATCAAAAGTATCGGCGAACTTGAAATAATCAATAAAAGGTTCATCCACATTTAACTGAGAATCCAACCACTCTTTGTATTTATAGCCTTTTGGGAGACCTAAAACTCTCGTTTTCAATGGTTTTCCTTTGGGCATATTTATGTATGGATAGAAGAAAGAAAAATAAAATTTCTACGCCACCAAGAAACATGTGAAAATGCACCTCCTTAATTTAAACGCAGCTTATTCTGAGGCGAAATAAGTAAAACGGTGATAATAATTTCTTGCGTCATTATTTTTCGATCATTTTAGCTGATACTTGTAACACTATTTTATGACTTGGAGTACGACATTTGATTCATCTGGTAAATTTACTGAAAAGATTTGGAATACATGATTTTTAAAGTGTCTTTATATAGTTTTGATGTTTTTGGGAAACGGTGGTTAACGGGAATGCTATAAAGCTATACACTTTCAACACAGATAATAGTTTGAAGCAGTTTCGTCCCCTCTGCCAAGTCAATTTTTCTTTTATGTGGATTAGATTTCGCACTATCCTTTAACATATCTGAAGATTGATGTCGTCCTGCATCCTTATTCTCAACAATTTGGGTGCGGATGCAGAGCAACCACTGTCGGAAGACAACGGGAATGCTATAAAGCTATACACTTTCAACACAGATAATAGTTTGAAGCAGTTTCGTCCCCTCTGCCAAGTCAATTTTTCTTTTATGTGGATTAGATTTCGCACTATCCTTTAACATATCTGAAGATTGATGTCGTCCTGCATCCTTATTCTCAACAATTTGGGTGCGGATGCAGAGAGTGTTCCATCCCTGTAACATCATAGCTACGTAATTTAAGATAAGTAACAATTGAATGGCGACAATTTCTATTCATTTACACAATATTCCTTGTATTTTAAGTGCAAACATAGGTACATGACCACGAACAAAATCGATGATGATATTGGTTTTATAGAAGTTACAGTCAGATACTTGTAAGTAATACAAAAAGAATCCTTTTGTTGGCATATTATTTATATTGACATATTGCATTTTAGCTGATACTTGTAACACTATTTTATGACTTGGAGTACGACATTTGATTCATCTGGTAAATTTACTGAAAAAATTTGGAATACATGATTTTTAAAGTGTCTTTATATAGTTTTGATGTTTTTGGGAAACGGTGGTTAACGGGAATGCTATAAAGCTATACACTTTCAACACAGATAATAATTTGAAGCAGTTTCGTCCCCTCTGCCAAGTCAATTTTTCTTTTATGTGGATTAGATTTCGCACTATCCTTTAACATATCTGAAGTTTGATGTCGTCTGACATCCTTATTCTCAACAATTTGGGTGTGGATGCAGAGCAACCACTGTCGGAAAACAACGGGAATGCTATAAAGCTATACACTTTCAACACAGATAATAGTTTGAAGCAGTTTCGTCCCCTCTGCCAAGTCAATTTTTCTTTTATGTGGATTAGATTTCGCACTATCCTTTAACATATCTGAAGATTGATGTCGTTTTGCATCCTTATTCTCAACAATTTGGGTGCGGATGCAGAGAGTGTTCCATCCCTGTAACATCATGGCTACGTAATTTAAGATAAGTAACAATTGAATGGCGACAATTTCTATTCATTTACACAATATTCCTTGTATTTTAAGTGTAAACATAGGTACATGACCACGAACAAAATCGATGATGGTATTGGTTTTATAGAAGTTACAGTCAGATACTTGTAAGTAATACAAAAAGAATCCTTTTGTTGGCATATTATTTATATTGACATATTGCAGAGTGATCTGGACATTCTTCCTGTAGAATTCTATGAAATTATAACATTCGATCCAAAAAGACAGGAGACGAACACCCAGTTTCTGACAAATATTGCCAGAAGCATAAAAAATGGTCAGTCATGCAGCGAAGGGTCACGCTGGTAGCCACAAAGCCTTGATGCAGTCTTTGAGTGGTAATATATATAGACAGTATATGATTCATTTGTCCTTGCTAACAATTTCGATAGATGCTGGTTTCACAACTGACGGCATCCGGAACAGCAAGAACGCTGGTCAGAAGCTGAATGTTCTCTTGGTGCATTTCGGGAACGGTGCTTTGCTGTCCCGCTTCTTTTCAAGCTACACCCTTTTGTAAGAATATCTTGGCAGCAACTCGCCATGTTGATTGAGGGGATCCAGTCCAAGAGATTACTGAATGAAAAATTGAAAAATTTGACAATCTCACCCTCTCTCGCCATCAAATTGGAGACATTCAGCCTTTTACAATAAAAAAATTTATAAAAATTAAAGTTAGTACTCCTGTCGTAAACCTTCTTGACTGTACCATTATAAAAATCCACATACATTAGAATGATGCAGATTCAAGCGATATTGGGGATGTAAAGGGATATCTTATCAAACGAGAAAAAACTAAAACATTTTAACATCATGGAGTGGTAAAACTAGGACATTTGATTTCTATTGACTGATAATAACCGAGATATAAATATTTATATTCGAGCAAAGAATCGTGATATGCCCAAGTATTAGTCTGTTCTTTGGTATTAGACGAGAATGTAAAGGGAGATTAGAGACTTTAGGGGATTAATTTACACTGTACTAAAAAGTAAATTATACTGTTTGGAAATCAGATTAGTGCTTTTTTCCATCATTTTTTACACTATTAGTGTAAACGCTTTCACTAATCTGTCCTTGAAGTAAGCCAATCGCTTCTGTCAATATCCCATATTTTAAAGACCAACTTTTTAAAATTCATGTTATTGGCCTTCTACTAGTCTGTATTAGGACAGTGATAAAAGTCACTGTGAATGCTATAGTGTAACACTTAGTGAAAATCTGAGTCCCCTAAACTCTCTACTCTAAGGAAGGACTTTTCCGTAAAGATCACTTGATCAAGTACTGTGTTAAAACGGAATTATTTTTTTACTCAACTAGTATCATTGTTAGGCTTGTTACCAAGTAAGTCAGCTTGTTAATATACAGCCGGTCGAAATATCATTAGTAATGAGCTCTTCAAGCATAAAAACAAGGTTTTTACAGGTAAGTTTTGTAATGAGTAGCTTCTATATTGAACTAGGCTTTTACAAAAAGGAACCTCTATTTTTTCTCCTACTACGTTAGCAGCCTTTCATATTCTGTTCTTTTTTTATTTAAATCACCTTGATTACTGACCTCATTCTGGCAATGAGGCTTTTAGGGACAGACAAATTGCACTAGGCACAATTGGGGTGCGCTTAGTTATGATGTAAGATCAAATACCTTAATTGGCATCAAGACGTCAATATAGGTTATTGTCTTAAAGCCAATGCAAATTCATTACAATACACGCATTTTTATGATGTCTGCGTATTATATAGCTTACTTTCGGCTTATCTTTTGGATATACCCTATTTAGATCAATAACGACCGCAAGAGTAAAAGAGTAACAATTGAACTGTCAAAATAAGTGCCGTTCATTGAAGATTCAATATTCCCTATTACATTAATTTTGATTGTATATGCTTCTTTTTTCAAGTCGTAAGGACAGTTGCATAAAAAATGTGTAGCATTCGTCTCTCTCTCTTTTTTACCTCTGGCCTCTAATTTACTTCACATGAACAGACTGAAAATCTTTACTATTTTTTCGAAAAAATGTCTTTATAATGTGAGTCGAGAGTGACATGCTGACCATTATGAACTAAGAATGTCAGTAAGTAATAATTTAAGTATTTAATATGGGTAATTTCTTACTTTTATTCTCTTGTTGCTTAAAAACGTTTTGGTTAAAGCACATAATTTTTTATTTTTTATTGTGTTGGTGATAAAATATAATGGATAAGCAACACGATGTATAAAAATAAAGACAAAGTCAGAAATTATATACACGCGATGTGTATATATGAAAATTATTCTGAGCTGTTAGGTTTGTTGCTGACCCATCTTGTCTTTTTTTTTTTTTTTTGGGTTCGGTTTTAGGCTTTGATGAAGCAGTAGAAGTTATAAGATTGTTGCTTACAGTTGGAGAAGGCAAAATTGTGGGTTGCTGTTAGATAGCTCCGGAGTTGGAGGGAGCGGACGAAGGAAAAGAAGTAGCTTGCATTGGAAAAGCAGAAGGTAAGGTTGGAAAGGTCAGATTGGTATTACTGTTAGCATTCTGGGAAGCATTGTTAGTAGCCATGAACAATTGCATTTGAGCATGAAGACACTGTTGCTGCAGCATAATAATTTTTATATCATTCGATAACTGTTGGGTTGAGCTCATCAGAAGCTGATTTTGCTGATTGTTTTGGCCAACGTAGTTATTAAAAGAACTTTCGATATTTTCGAGTCTGATGTCTTGTCTCTGCTGCAATCGTACGATTCGATCATTGGCATCCGTAACTCGGCTGGCTACTTCTTTATGGGTATTAACCAAGTTGGGTACAAGGCCTTCGTACTCTTCTAATTTGCCAATAGAAGGATTACTAATAGCAGTTACAATGTCTTCCCTGAAACATTTTAAATTCATTACAAGAAAACAAGGCACTTTTACTATTGACACACTTGTTTTCCTTATTCAAGTAGAAGTACACTGTTGCATCTTGTAAAATTATTCTTCTACGTCTAATCAATAAACGCAAAAAACCTCTTTTTGCTGTATCAATACTGCTCTGTGCTTTCTGCTTTCCTTTTCCTTTTGATTTTTTTTTTCTTTTAAACCCATTTTCCTATCTTCTTCAACAAACTCAACAAAATCGGTAACGTTTGTGATTTCTAAATTAAAAATATTATCATATTCATCCTCATTTTCATCTACTTCTTTCATCTCCGTTTCGCATGCAGCCTCCCATTCCAGATTTCCGTAACCAAAGTAGCTCTCAATCCAAGGAAAAATCTTTTTTTGCAGATCGATAGGGGGACTAACGCTATTTCTTGCTAATGAAAAAGGTTTCTCCCAGAATCCTGCCATACCTCTAGCAAAAGGAGAAGGAAGTTTTCCCAAATAGTGCGTTTCTAAACGACCAAGACGATCTTTCCAACCTCCACCTCGTTTGATAAGATCAAATGGAATTCCCAAACCTTCCGCTTCCATTGATCCAGTATGTTGGCCACCATGCGTTACTCTGGCGGTATGTATATCTTCGTTTGCAAGTGCCTTTTTCGCTGTCTTCCATTGCGAGACGCCACTCAAACTTTTCTCGGGACCGGCACGTCCACGCAAAACCTTCCAATTATGCCATCTTTCTTCATTCAAAAAGTTGGCATTATCCTATTTTTTTTATAAAAAAAAAAATTAGCATTCAATGTTAATTTCTTTTTTATATCAACATACTTGAAGTAAACTAAACATCAAAAATCTAAAAGCACCAAAAAGGGCACCGAAAGATGTTTTCGTGACGCATTGCATAAGCAAATTTTACTTCACCTTCTTTGAGAGTTTTGCCCTTGTCGAGATTAAATACCAGAGCTAAAACTTGTTGCATTCCTTTGTGCTGGTTCTTAGGGAATAATGGTACAAAAACAATCTGCAAAGTTTAAATTTCTTAGATCTTGATCCCCGAAGTAGCATATAGTTGACGAGAGGAGATCGAAAACATTTCCACGCAAACCTGTATCACTACTGGAAATCCAAAGGTTTTTTTTTTTTAAAGATTCTAATGAGTTCACCGGATTTATATGAATCACGAATAACGCAATGTGCTGCTCTGTCTACATTTGTTTGTACTTGACCGTACACAAGTTCATGCTTATTTTTTTTTGATTGATTTAATGACTTCCTTAGTTTTCTTAGGAGAAGGATTAGTCAACTTCTCTGCGACTGGATTAAAATTCATGCAAGAACATCAAAGCTTTTTTGTATTGATTGACAGCTTCAATTCCCAATGGAACTTCAATAATTTTTTTAACGCCCGTCTTATTAGAAGGAGCTTTGTCTGCCACTAAGGAAGATGTTAGTAATTGAGTACAATTAAATCAGCTCCATATTACTTTGCAATAAAGTCAATTGACTATCGGAATTCTCAGTTTGTATACCAATCTGGGCTCTAACATCGGTGTCTATGGAAACATCTTTCTTGTAAGTGCGCTTAAAAACGCATTCCTTAAAGAAAGCAACAACAAAATCAGTAGGACCAACAGTGTATGGGTACTAAGGCTCAACTGGATATCTGTTTCGGTTGTTTTCACAAAATTCCTATGATTTATGAAGTACCAAAATAAGATTAGCATTTTGTTATATAAGAAAAAAAAGCAAAACAAAAAAAACCAAAAAAAGATTTAATGGGCTGTAACATACTTTCCAGTGTTCCAAAGGCATTCTGTAAGTTGCTGCAGTGCTCGCTCGCACTTTCATCAGTAAAGCCTTTATAGCTAGTTCAAACTCGGTAACGTCAAAATATCTATTGCTTCGGGAAGTAATTAAATGTCCTTGAGTGACAGTAGCAGATGAAGAAATAGCAAAAAATCCACCAGAAGAAGATCTATCAAAAAGATGCAGCTACTACGCTTCTATTCAGCATGTCACTTTTTGATGGACGCCCCCCTGCGAGCTTTCTTGAACTCTTCTTCTACAGACGTATTTATAACAGTATCCTAAATAAAATTATCTTTCATTAATCTTGTTGTATGTATAATGCATCTTATGTATATATTTTTGTACATGAATTTCACTAGCGGTTTCTTTGTTTTGTTGGTTGTATTTTTTTTTTCTTCTTCGGGAGTTCTGACAAGAGGTCTCTTGAAATTCGTGTTTTTTAGTAGACATGGGGTTCATAATAAAAGAATTTTAGAAGAAAAGGTGTTATCAATTTTTGATGTTAATTAAACTTTACACTGGTGTGATTTTAACATATATTTTTTTGACAGAGGAATCTAATGTATCGCGGGAAAACATTTAACCGGGATCTATCTGATTAGATTTTTATGAATTTTTTGCATTGTAAAACACCTCCCCGGATACATCTTTGGGTCTCCCCCCGCTGTAAATGGCAAATTTTGTTTTGCCATCTGTAAAAAAAAAATTTGTGTGAAAAGAAAAAATTCGGGCTCTATTAGTTTATGAAGAACTCTCTAATAAAGAACATAATAGAGCCGGATTTTTGTTACATGTTAAATTCATCGAGGAGATAGCGTTTTTCATTTTTTTTTTTTTTTTTTTTTTTTGGAAATCAGAGCTGTAGTCATTATAGTGACGGTATAACAACACAAGCTTGCGTTTGCTCTCTTTAACTATCATATATAACAGCTAATATAAGCACTACGACAGGATCTTAAGATGTTACATATTCCTAAAAAAAAAATGAATTCGCAGATGATTACAATGCAATTTCCAAGATAAATTAAAGATAGTAACACGGTTGATAGACTTTTTTTTTTATAAACGTGCTTAAACTATTTATTTCATATCAATGAGAGCTTATAAACAGTATGAAATGACTCTTACAGCTCTTATAGTTTATCCGCTTACCTGAGATCTGACACGAAACCGTACTTCGTTCATTAACATATCTCTACTTAATGGCCAGTATTATAAATTTCTTCAAACAAATTTTTGACATCTCTTTCAAATGATCCTTTGTGGTCATAGACTTGCTATTACCTTTTTTGTCTATTTCTAATCATACGCATCATCCTAATGGTGGTGTCCATGAATGTATTGCATGAGATGACGAATACAATGAATTCAATCGGATCTAAGTAAGTTAAAAGAAGCAGTTTATTGTACCTGGTACTAGTCATTTGTCAATTACTTTAATCCTCTATATACCGTTATTCATTTGATATGTGATTAACCCATGAGTAATCCAAGTATCATCAGGGGACGAGGATTGAAAACGGTTGGCAGCTTTTAAAGCCTTGTAATCCTCGCTGTCAAAGTAATCAGAAATGGTTCCTGGATTTTCCTTGCGATCGTCACGGTAGCGTAACTTTTGTCGTATTTCCTCATGACTTAAAAGCTTAGACAGCTGATCTCCAACGGGCTATTTTGGACTGGAATCAACGCACTTTTAAGGAAATTAGTTTCAGGTCAAATGTCATCCGTGTTGTCATGGTTGATCTCAGTCTCATTGATTTGTTGTAGCGTTGCTTCGTGTAATTCCAAAGGTGCCGGCATCGGTGATACACATGGGTCGTCTTTTTTAAAATAATTACGGTTACAAGTACTTGCATACATGATTCCATTGTCTGCGTAGGCTATTGCGCGTTTTTTAAGTAGACTATCTGGTGCTAAAGCACTAGTAATAGTTCTTAAAGGATAAGACAGATAGAGGTTATTAACAACGATGTTAATAATAAAGTAGTTATGAAAGTGAGCACCAGACTGGAAGTAGTCAACGTAAGAAATCTTATAATTTAAAGTTTAAATTTAAAAAGATAATCAACGATAATTTTAAGAGGGCGTAAGCAATCTGAATATACAATAATTGCCAAGGATAAAAAGAAAAGTAATAAACAATATCTTATATACGGTTTGATAATAATGAGATTCAAGTCGAGTGTGAAAGATGAACTTTGATTGAAATGTCACATGATAAGTAAAGACTCAAGATAAACAAGAAGTATAAAAGTTGAGGGAAACACAAAGGAGTTAATTACAAATTATAAGAAAACTAGATTTTAGTCAAGATAAAACTGTTGTAATATTTATTCGAAAAAAGTGGGCATATCTATAGGAAATATCCTATCCTATGTAACACCAAGTCAATTTAGATTGGCATAGCCCCTATCACATTTACGAGTTTTTGGAATTGTGAGCTTGTCTCATCACAAACGTCAAGTAAATCGGATGCAATGGATTTTTCTATGTTTTCTTTCTCCATCAGCTCTCTAGCAATTCTGTATAATTTTTGTATAGTTGCATCGTCTTTATGTTCCATAGACATCAATGATGGTTTTCGTTTACAAAAAAAATACCCCAAATAGCCAACAATGGGTGAAGTGAAGTTTGAATAAGGTCCTCTTTATTTGTATCATGAACAATAAAAAAAAATGTTTAACAAAGGAATCCTGCATTACCTCCGGATGCATAAGACTGTTCAGAAGAAAAACGCAGAACGCAAAGCCAGACACCGCAGGTAATTGGATATCCCGGCTCAAGGAGACCATGATCTCGGAGGTGAGATTTAGCAACTCGCGGACATAGGCGAGATACTCGTCGACAAAGAAATGGATAAACGCACCGTTCGATTGAAGGCGGCTTTAAATAAAAAGAAAATGTTAGACTGTATACATAGATATAATGTCAATGATAAAAAGAACTTACTGCAGCCCATCCATTAATTTGCTAACGAGTATGTCGCCCACATCCGCCGCACTTACACGAACCTCCAAACGAGACGTGAACTGCGTCTCCTGATGCTCATTCAGGCAACGTTCGTAGAAGTTCTGTTTAGAGAAGAATGAAAAAAATTTAGGCAAAGACAATACAAATAATACTACATAAACACTTACAATCCCTTGTCTCCAGTGACCAGACGCGTGGTTGATCGTATCCCGAGACTTGGAAGGGGACCAGTCCTCACCGACGGAACCGTTGAAACCTGGTCTTGCTCTGGTGAACGGGATCTTTATATCGTTGTACATTATGACCTTCCAAGCTTCATTAATGCCTGGAGCGGGATTAGTGCCGCTCATGCCACCGAAACGGCCAAGACACATGTTTTGACACTCGGAAACAGTACCTTCACCACCGAAAAGCTCACCAGCAACAGAACAGAATTCTTCTTTGAGGAAACTGATGATTGGACGGTTATCATCATCAGAGACCGCAAAAAAGTTCAACCCAATGTCAACCCTTGTTTGGACCGCAGCCAACTGATGCCAGTCAATCATATTACTGAGAATGGCAGTATGAGTGAGTCTACGAAGAGGAGCCTTAAAGCCAAACGCGGAAAGGACAAACCGGAAGTGACGGAACATCGCCAAAGATTCTTTTTCGTGGACCAAACTCTATGGCTGATGTGTTGATTGTTGTAAAAGACTTTGTTGACAGAATCAATAACAGTTGTTGATTCTGTCAACAAAGATGTTGACCATTTTTTTTTAATTATTTTTTGTCTGCGTGTCGGGCTGGGAGGTGCTTTGTAGATTAATTCTCAGAATAGTACTGTGCTTCCACTCTATGTGACACACCCCTCGCAAACGTTGTTTCTTCAATTGCTGGTTTATCACTCTGTGCCCAACCTCTTAAACGACGCATATTTACATCGAATCCTACTTCATCAAGTAAAACACAATTCTTAATGAAATGCAAACCCTTGTTTTGCTATTCTACAATCCAGTTTGTGCGAGCCTCAAGAGTCTTCTGACTATTTCTGTCCTTTGGATGGCGGTTGACAACTTTTACACTGAGATTTCAATTTTCTTTCATGAATTCAGCAACCTTACTCTTTTTTTATTTCCAAACCTTCAAAGCTTCTGGTTAAATTTTTGACTGCATCCTGGATAACAGCTGAGGAATTCTCATCGAAAAAAGTTGATCAAGTGCATTTTGTGGTTCTCATTTAGTTGACTTAGTGCTCTGTTTGATGTATGATTCGTTTTTTTTAAAGGGTATCTTTTTCTCAGGGTCTCTTTCGTACTCTCTCTTCCACTTCCTCGCAGTTTCAGGATTAACGTTGGCAAGTTTAACTGCCTCAGCGGGTTTCATCAACTTTTTCATGCAGGAAAAAGAAATATAGTAGTCGATCCTCGTTTGTGTAAATGTTATAAGTTGAGCTTCTTTCCTTCTTGATGGCTTCTTCCTGCATATCCGTGTCTTTTGGCTCTTCGTATCTAGATTACATTCAATATGACTCTACATATAAAGCTTATAAATGGATTATATATATTTTTTTTTCAAGAAGGCATTGGAGCAATGATAAGTATATATTTAATTATTATTAATAATGAGGGAAAGGGTTTTGTGAATTAAGATTTAATTTAAATCAAGAGCATGATTAATCAGGGCCTCCTTCCATGCAAGTATATTTGGTATTTGATTTACATAGGCAGTGAATTTCCTCGATGTAGTTGGGATTTCTACAACTACATCAACTGTCCTATACATTACACCATCATAATGGACAAGCTTCTCAAAGTGAATGTTATGTCCTATTGCATTGTAAAAAAGGAGATTTAGTGTAAGGTATTATTAAATAAGAAATATACTTACCAAAACACCTGATACAAAACATTTTATCAGTTTTAATATCTTCCATAACTTGCACCGTATCAGTGTGCAACTTTTCTATATCTTTTGCGTTCTTTCGAGAGGAGGTATTATCATTTATACCTCCAGAGAATTCCACTAGTCCCGGAGCAATCGATTTGTTACCGACTTTGAAAATGATTCCGTCGAATTTGGTTCTGTCGGTAGAAAAAAATTCTCTCTCTAACCAGCCAAGTTCTATTACATTATTGTTCGAGATGAACAGCTGGTTTACAATAAATATGATTAAATAGGTTGCTGCTGTTCTCTCCAACATAACCGTATCCAAAGGAGTATTCGGTGAATTCATAAAATCCAGGCTATAAATGTATGGATTGGCAATATGTCAATATAACTAATAAGCCCACGAAAGGTTTCTTTTTGTATTACTTACAAGTGTCTGACTGTAACTTCGATGAAACCAATATCATGATTTATTATTAGATCAGAGTTATCGTGAAATCCTTGATCATTTTTTATTCGAGTGTCCTCTAAAACTGCCCGTTTGACAACATATCTGGAATCACCATATCTCCCCATCCTCTATCACTTTGTCCACCGATATCCTGCGTGTTAGTCTTCACGCTTTTCGTGCCCTCCTGCCCAATATGCCACTTCCTCCTGATTCTAGCCTTCTCGCTCTTTCTGCTACTCTCGAATCCATTTGGTTGTGCCATTGGGCTTTTGTCTTTAACGACACTCCTTTTACTACTGCTTCCACTATCTCCGTCGCGTCCAAAAAGATTTGAAAATCTCAACACGTGAAGCACTTCTTCAATCTGGCACCCCTCATTCTCCCTCTCCCATTTTCTCTGAGGACAGCTTATACTCCCTCCATTGGTAAGACCTTCCGTTGCTCAGGCCTCCGCTAAAACAGCTTTTATTTTTTTTTCTAAATTTCAAACTTGTACATACTTTAATTATAAAAAAAAAAAAAAAAAAAAGAAAAAAAAAACAACTCTAAAATATAAAACCCAAAAACACAATTGTGACTATTTCCTTTTAATATCACTAATAAATCACAGAGACTCCGTCTCCATGTAAACAAAAAGAAATAGAATAATTTGGTCTTTTATAACACACAATGAAAAACCGGAGGATGCAAGAGGGGTTCTAATTATTCCTCTTCAAGACCTAGAAAGATCATACTTCTTTGTTAAATCATTTTCTCTTATTTTTTTTGAAAACAGGATATCGGCGTTTATTCATCTACACGCATTATTTATATCATGTCCTACTTGTAGCACGTAATTATCGGCAATTTACAGAATTCATGCTTCTCCACTGAACTCTGTTCTTTACATGAATCGCCTATAACCACTGTTTATAGCAATGTCAGGGGAATTGATATTTCTAAAGCGTTCCAATCCATACCAATTGGCAGCTCTGTGGATGTTTAACACATATATTTTTAAAAACATCATCTTTCCTTTTGGAAATCGTTGAAAAATAATTTTCCATTTAAAATTAAAAAATATATTCTTAACTTGTCCTTCACTGTACAATACTTGAGTTAGATGTTATTTTCTCTTGTATTGTATTGCCTGAGATAGTTATTACTTTTTTAAAGATGAGCTTATGTTGACTACTTATAAATCTTGTTGCCCCCTTTTCTTCATTTAAATCCGTACTAGTGCTACAGTATATAATCCTTATCATACAATTCTGAAACAATTTGTAAAGAACTCTGTTCTTTTAGTTATTTTCGAAAGCAAAGAATAGCACAGATTTTTTTTTCCTGCAAAATCTTTCCAAAGCTTGATTTGCTCCCGTAAATACTTCTTATTAGCACTACCATAAAAGTCCAACAAACTAAACAATGCTACTGCTTATACACCCAGGTTTAGGTTGTTTGATTTGGATGAGGTCGTGCCAGTTGCATAATGAACAAGATATTTTCCCAAACTCATGAACTCTTATTGTTATCTTCTTTGCACTGTTGTATCGGGATCTGATTTACCTGTTGACTTAATAAAACTTTATACTCGCAGACTTTCTTGACTATAATACAAAAATCCACGCACGTTAGGATAATGTACTATTTCGTAAAATTAGGGATGTAAAAGGACTACTGTTTTATTGAATTACGAAAAACCACGACTTTATAATATCACCGCGTAGTACATAGTACTACTCAGGCTACCACAAGATATAATCCCTTCGTATCATTTCATAAGCTTTACATCAAAACACGGTCACAGAGGGCTATTGAGGCGCTATAGTGGTTCGTACTCTGAAATATCGCCTTACCACATTACAACCCCTCTTATCCCATATTTCTATTTGGTATAATAACTTAACGGCACTGCCAATCTAGGACGTGTCTTGTATAACTTCATTTGGTTTGCATGATAAGTTAATGGCAACCGCATTTCTTCGTCTTTAACCACGTACACATTCGTCCCTACGACCTCAGCAACACGAAAGGGACCTAACCACCGTACCAGCAAAGTTACCCTATTATCGGCAGGACTTCTTTCATGTACCATTACGAGATCATTGACATAATACTTGACTATCTTAGTATTCCTGTTGTATCTTTCGATCATATTTAACTTGTACTTGTGGATATTCTGTTTGGCCTTTGGCAGGATATTTATATTAAGTTTGATAATCTCCGTTATACGTTCCCAAATGGCTTGATCATCCTCTGTGTCATTTTCATACTCATGATCCGCCTCTAACAACTCTCGGGGTTGACGACCATATACCAGTTGAAACGCCGAATATCCATGGTCTCTTTTAGTCGACGTTCGCATTACATATACGGCGGCTGACACCCACATATCCCAATCGTTGGTGTATGTCCAGGATAATTTCTTTATGATCGCTTTGAGTGTCCCGTTTGCTCTCTCGACCTTGCCTTGTCCCTGTGGATGGTAAGGCACTCCAAATCGGATTTGAATTCCATATGATCTCATCATCATGACCTTAACCTCTTCTGCTTGGAAATGTACCCCATTATCTAGATGAATCTGATTCGGTTTTCCATACTGACATACCCATTCGAACAGTGACATGCATGTAAAGGCACTACTTTGTGATGCGGTCGGCTTACATTCAACCCACCCAGTTAACTTGTCTATAATCACCAACGCAGCATTATTCCCCTGAGCCGTAAGAGGTAATGATATATAATCCATACTGATATTGGAAAACGGTTCATAACGGAAGGATTTTACATCTAGTGATAATGGGACTGGTGGATTTCGAGGACCAAAACCTTGACATAATTGACACGAGGATACGTAACGTCTAACAGTATCGTAATAGCCAGGCCAGTAATAAATCTCCTTGATCTTGTCAAAAGTTCTCGATATACCCATATGTCCAGCCAATAAATGATCATGATTCTGTTTCAGCACCGCTAGGACCTCATGAGTTTGTAACACCTTTCTTCGTGGAAATGTACTTGATTCACGCTTGAACAGAGTCCCCTGTCTTACTTCATATTGTCTAGCTTTATTCTTAATGGCTTTCCGCTTCGACTCACTTAACCCCTCTCTAAAGGTCCAGGCGATCAGATATCCACATAAATCAGCATACTCCTGTCGATCCATACCATCTTCATTCGAAAAGATATTTTCTTCTCCTAGCCCCTTCGCTTTCTTACTAATTTTTGATTCATCTTCTTCATGACCATGTTTGATACCATTGAGTGGGAGATAATAGTCTTCGATAATTTCATCTAGTTCTGGACCTATTGAGTATGCGGCTTGTAACCTGGACAGAGCATCTGCATTTGCATTTAATTTTCCCGGACGATAGATTATATCAAAATCATAAGCTAACAACGAAGCTTGCCAACGTACTACTTTCGCCGATGCTTCTTCATTGAACTTGATTAAATACTGTAAGCTTTTCTGATCCGTGTACACCACAAATTTATGACCCAACAAATATGCTTTAAAGAAATGAATAAAGTACACGATGGCTAGGAATTCTTTTTCGTAGATACTAGTACGCTTTTCTGCCTCCGTTAATGCTTTACTACCATAGTATACCGGTCGTATGAAGTCTTCATTACCCGCTTCCGCTTGTGATAACACGCCCCCAATACCCGTATTTGATGCATCCGTAAATAATATGAATGGTCTTGTAAAATCCGGATGAATTAATACTTGATCGCCCGTCAATAACTCCTTACAGCTTTGAAATGCTTCTTCTTGCTCATGTCCCCAAACAAACGGAACATTTTTCCGTTTCAGCTTATTCATAGGTGATATCAAACCTGATAGATCCCTCAGATAACGCCGATAATATTGTATCATGCCTACAAACTGACTTATTTCTGTGACAGTTCTTGGTCTTGGCCATTTTACGATTTTATCTATCTTGGCTGGATCCATTTTGAAACCTTCTCTTCCTACCAGATGTCCCAGTAATTTCACCTCTTGGTAACCGAACTTACATTTTGAAATCGATAGTGATAGATTTGCAGCTTTGGCCTTTGCTAGTATAATATCCAATTGCTTCACATGTTCATCAAACGATTTGGAAAATACTAATCCATCATCGATATATATAAGAAAGAACTTATACAATTCTTCGAAAAATATCGAGTCTACACATGATTGCCATGCTTGCGGACTAACTTTTAATCCCATCGGTAATCGTTTCCAACGATATTGACCAAACGTTGTTGCGAATCCAGTATAATCCCGGCTCTCTTCATCAATTTCGAGTTGCCAAAAACCCTTTAAACAGTCAAATACCGAATAGTACTCTGCCTTCGCCAATAACGTGAATAGGAAATTAATGTTGGGTATGGGATATCCTGTATCTCGAACTGCTAGGTTGATTGGTTTGTAATTGAGACATAATCGATATGGATCTTTTTGTCCTGCCAGCTGAGTCGGAACACCACTCGTTAATCCAGAATCAGGAACTCCATTACTTGCATACTGTAATCTTTCCATTGAACTGATATCATCAACCTCGTTCTCCTCTACTTCGTTCGTTTCATTTATATTATTGATAGATATGGACCATACTGCTTTTGGTTCTTTTCTACCAGGCGAGGAGATCAATTTCGGTACTTTCTGAATTTTCTTAAACCTCCTTCTTGGTGCTCGCTGCTCCTTGTTATTCGGTACTAATACCACTGCTGCAGCCCAAGGACCAGAACAAGGTTCAATCATGTCCAATTCGGTTAATTGTTTTAGATACCCTTTCAACCATTCATTAGCGGCAATAGGTAACATCCTTGGTGCGACTTTCACTGGTTTAACATCATGTTTAACTTTTATGGTGTATGGTTCAACTTTTAAGGATTTTATTTCTTTTAGGGAAGTAGCAAAAACCGACTTATGTTTCTTCAATACCGTGACCAATTTCTCTCTTTGACTCGGAGTCAGGCTTGGGTTGATATCCCAATTAGGCGTGTCATCTTCACCCACCGCACATACCGATGCCTTTTCCACATTATCTTTCGACCCATAAGTGATATGATATACACTTGACTTCGCCTGTTTTGCCCTGACTTCTACCAAAATATTGGAAATACCTAATGTTTCCAATTCTTCCTTCGTTGGTTCGAAGATTGGCCCTTCTAGGATGGATGGTGCATAGATTGCCTGATCACTATCATGATGGTTGATGTACATGTCTGTGATGATGTCCATGATTTCCTCAATTTGTTGCATGTACTGCACTCCTACAGGTACTGTACTTTTATTCAACAATTGTCCTAATATGGTATCCTTCTTGAGCTTTACGACATTCACCGTCATATTGGCCACCACCATACAATAAGGTTTATCTACTTCTGACCTTTCCATCACCGTTGGCATGATATACAACCCGTACTTGTTGTAAATATCACCAGAGGGTTGTAAGACCTTATCCTCTTTCCAATTGGTTGAGGGTTCAGATAACTTTACCCATAATAGCTGACTCTCCCCAGGTTCAAAAACCCATTCGTAATCTATTAATACGTCTTTCAGTTCTCGGTTTCTTTTGTTATCAGATACGGTCGCAGATACAGCCATAGCGTTGTTATCATTCTCTACTGCCAAGTCGAAACCTTCACCTGCAGGGTGAGTAGGGATTTCATATAACTTGTTGGTCTCCTCCGAGGTAAACACCAAATTGTTCAGATGGGGATTCGTCGCTACCTTAGTCGCCAAGATAAAATCCATGCCAATCAATGTTGGGGTCAACGGGTTCTGGCTTACACAGAATGAATGATGAATTGTAACTTCAGCTGAAAATTGTAACTTTAGCTTAACCACACCAACCGGGATATCAATCTCCCCACCAGCGAACCTCAACACCTTATCCGTAGGTAACACTGACGATTCCTTTCCCAATTGTTTGACCAGATCCCAATGGACTATTGATACTACAGCACCACCATCAATCAGAAATTCACAATTTCGTTGGTCTTCCACAATGGCCAATACAGATTGAAGACTAGTTCGATCCGGTACCAAACTTGTCGTGTCCAAATTGATCATATTTACCGCTGGCAGCTCATCCTTGTCAATTTCCATGGACTCGGCCATACCTTTAACCATCGATTTTGTTCTATTCGTTGAGGGTTGACCACCTAATAAGTTGAGATATTGATACCATAGTTCAGGAGCATAGTATAATAATTGAGGTAGGGCTACGTGTATTTGGGTATCCCATAATTGTTTCTTCAGATCTAGGTGCTTCACCTTTTTCTCGTCATCTAACATAATAGGAAACTCCCGCTCCAGTTTTCTCGCAATAGAGGGTGGTATCTCACCACGTTGTTTGGCTTCAACATCCAATTTCTTATACTCTGCCTTTGCCTTTCTAGCCTTTTCCAGATTTTGTAACCGAACCGCTTTCAACTCTTCTGGCGTCTTCTTCGTAGCACCAGTAGCATAGACCTTGTGTTCTTCTGTTTTGGCTCCGTGCGTGATAACATGTATTGAGGAACTATTTGCTTTAGGATTGTTTGTAATAGAAGGTCCCTCTACTCCTAAGCATGTAGGGGACCGTTCTGAAAATCCTTCGACTCTTGGAGGGAATTATTCGTTTGCCCTTCACCACCGTTCTCCTGGTTACGTTTAGGACAATTAAAAGACGAATGATTTGCACGTTCACAAGTATTACACATTGAGTTACAGTTTCTAGCGAAATGTCCTACACCATCACAATTGTAGCACCTTAACTTATTTCCACCTGTACCATGGTTACCATTATGGCTCGGATAACTAGATTGGCCTACTTGAGCAGCATTGTTCTTTTCCATCATGTCAACACGATCCTTGACCATGGCTAATTCATTCTCAATGAGATCCAGCTTCTCCAACTTGGCTAATACGAGTCGTTCAAAGTCAGTCATATTCGCCTTATTGTTATTTGCTGTACCACTTGAATGGTCTGTGCGACTATTGTTACGCTCAAATCTGCGCACAGCATTTACGGATGTACTACCCACGATGTTTTCTTCGTCCGACGTAACATTCAACACCTTACGATCTTCGTATAAGCAGCTCTCCGCCCAACGCAACAACTTCTCCAAACCATCTAACCCATCAAGTGTCTTCTTTGCCTCTTTATTAAAAGGATCTTTGAGCTTCTTCTCACAGAATATACGGACTTGAGGTAGTAAACCTTTCATGATATCTCGAACCTTTTGTTTTTCAGTACGGTCAATACAATCAGGGCCAGCACGTTGCATAAGATAACGTTTAATCTCCATGAATTCCAAAGGTGTCTCTTCATTGGTTTGGGTTCGTTCTTCGTAATGCTTGGTATACAACTCATACCACTCCTCCGTGATATAATTTTCTTTGAACTTGGACAAAATGCAATTCTCAGTACCATCATCGTAAAGTAAGGTTTCGAATGTTTTCATATCATTCATTAGATGGTTTTTCATCCACCTTTCAGCGTGACCAGTTAAACATAGAAGGAAAGTCTCTTTCTTCCTCTCGTCCGTTCGCCAATTGTTCCACTTAGATACTTTCTCAAAGTCTTCTAAGAAACGTAAGGGGTCTTGTGTTCTACCCGTACCAGAGAACATGGGTGGGGACCGAGTATTAGTCTCCCCAGTTGCCACCGTGATTTGTTTATTGGTTTCTTTATCAATGATTAAGACAGACATGTTATGGTCTATTTCTTAGCGATTTTTGTTCTTGACTACGATATTATTTGTAATTAGGACCCAGTGGTAAATAGCCTTCCCAGGATTTGTAATTACCTATAATATTTAAAACTGTTGTTCTTCAGTATTCGTTCGACTTGCTTTGTTCTATTAAGTAACGCCCAGCTACTCCACCAAATGTTGTATCGGGATCTGATTTACCTGTTGACTTAATAAAACTTTATACTCGCAGACTTTCTTGACTATAATACAAAAATCCACGCACGTTAGGATAATGTACTATTTCGTAAAATTAGGGATGTAAAAGGACTACTGTTTTATTGAATTACGAAAAACCACGACTTTATAATATCACCGCGTAGTACATAGTACTACTCAGGCTACCACAAGATATAATCCCTTCGTATCATTTCATAAGCTTTACATCAAAACACGGTCACAGAGGGCTATTGAGGCGCTATAGTGGTTCGTACTCTGAAATATCGCCTTACCACAGCACATATTTTTCTGTGTTCTTTGTCATGAAATTATTTGACATATCCAACAGGTTGTGTTACGATGCACTCGAAGCAAACGTAACACAGGCTATAGTGAGTATATTCTTATAATCGTGGTTTGATTACTTTAACTCTCGAACTGACAAACATAAAAAAAAAAGTGGAAGAGCACCATGATTGTTCTCCACATAAATTCTGTATCTCTATTTGTAAGTCGTTTTTAGTTTTAATGTGTCCAAATACTTTTTTAGAATAGCCTTTGACTCTAGGACTATTATCACTAAAAAAGTAGTCATGGATGGCTATTATAAAACTAAAAATGATTCAAGGTTAGTCAACACTGAAAAAGGTTGAAAAAAGAATTGTTAGGTAGATGTTCCGTGAGAGTACTCAATGTAGTCAATACCCGCCCAGGGAGTGTTGAAGACCAATATTCGTGCACACTGTACACCATCTGCACCTTTTCTGTAAGTATTTTTAAAAGCAGTAAGGAATCAGCACCGATCGACATTACAACCAGATAACTCCACTACAGCTTTGTTGAAAAGAAGACTAATTAGCGACTTTTCTTGCTACTGTGCTATCGTTGTACATTATGGTTTTTTTAAAAAAAAATTAGAGTTGCGTAGCAGCCCAAAGAGACCATCCCTATATGTGGAAGTGAAGGATCAAGTTTAACCTCATCCTGATATAAACCAGTCCCTGGGTATTACTTTCAGTACGGAAACCCCTCATATCAAAACATGCTCGTGGGTTGTTTGGAGGAGACTGGTTGTAGCCAAAAAAAAGAATACGGCTTTTATTAATATTGCTTCTATTACCTTTGAAAATGCCAGAACTAGTCTTGGGAAAAAATCAGGAAGAGGATAAAGATAGTAATAGTGGGGTATTTAAGGATAGGTTGATGGTAGTCAAGGATCTAAAAGATGGAGAGAATGGAAATGCTGACCGCAATAAAGTTTTAAAATGTCGTCATATATCCAACAACATGAACCTGACTATTCCAAGAAATCGTAGTAACGTGTGGAATAAAGTTGGTTTTTTATTAATATACGAAGTTTTTTTTTTTTTAATGTTTGGTTGCTTTTAATTGCCTTGAACTATATAATACACAACGCATTAATTATTTTTTTTCTCACATCTAAAAACCCTCCATTTTCATTATTGCTATTTACCTGATAATAAGGCCTTTTCGGCAAACCATTTAACATCAACATCTTTATCTTTACTCAGTTTCTTGAGAACATCTGCCACTTGCGTATCCACCAAGGATGCCGTCGTAGGATCCTGTTTTAAAATGGGTGCCAATACCTCTAATGATTTAGCCACGTTAAATCTGACATTGGGGATAGGATCATCGACCAATTGAAGCACGGTGTCGAGCACCTTATCCTTGATAATATCAGGCGTAAGCGACGTAGCCATCGTCTATTTTTTTCATTATCGCACACTTTTTGTTAAAACCTGCTATTTTTTTAAAATATATATATATATATGCAAACTTACGGTGAGAGCGAAAAGGGTGGTCATACGGTAGAGATAATTATTATTGTGTGCCATCCCCATGACTTGAGGTAAAACCGTGTCCTTGGCCCAATCATGACCAAAGATCTCGACTAATTTCTTAAGGTTGGTGGTAGCAGCGTCTCGAATGGAGAAGACGGCATCACCCAACCAGGACAGACACAAGTTAAGCAACTTGTCATCAAAAAACCCAACACCCAGTTGAGACGCTAACAACGGGATATATTCTATAATTGCCAATCTCACTCTCCATTGCTTGTCCTCTGCTAAATCCACAATAGCCGGTAAAAGCGATTGCGAAAGACGGTCCACACCAATGACTTTTTTTTGAGGGTAAGTAAGGGAAATTTTAAATGCCATACTAGAAAAGTTTTACCTTGGTTTACATTTTCAAGCTTGGAAATGATATTGAGTCGAACATCGGGGAAATCATCCTTGAGTAATTGGAGGAATAGAGGTAAAAGGTATTCAATAGTCCTGAAGGGATGGAGATGGGGTTTAATCACCAAAGATACAAAAGAAAAAAGAAGAAAAAAAGGAAACTTACAGGTCTTTGCCGAGGATGGGAGCGAATCCACTGATATTGGTAGCAACAGCAGCACGTACATGTTGATTGGTATCGATGACTAATTCCTTGATGCAAGGAAGGATCTTTTCAATGACGACAGATTGGTCCACTTTCTTTGCGAAGGTAGGTGCTTGACCGATCGATAAAATTTTGACTTCTCCTTCACTGTCCTTGATCAAACTCACAAACAAAGTAACCAATTCTTCACGTGTAATTGATTCGCCGAAAGCATCACAAAGCTTTTTTTTTAGAACAATGAATAGTTATAAGAAAACAATGAAAATATGTGTTTGATTGTATATGAGATTACCTCGTTAAAGTGGGTGGCAACCATGTATCTCACTCGCCAAGAACGATCCTGACCTAATGATTTCAAAGGAGCCAACAAGTATTGTCTTGCTTCGTCATGCGACAACATGTTTGCGATCTGCACTAAATCTTCCACCGTCAATAAACGCACGGTATCCTGATCATCATTGGTCAATCTGAGAAACAATGGCAAGATATGACTGATTAATTGTTGTTGGGTTAATTCTTTGGAGAAATCCGCCAGAGCTTTGGCAGCAGCACGTTTTACCATGGGTGTATCATCTTGGATCAGTTGAGCAAAAGATGTTCTCAGTTCTGCTTGTTGTTCCTCGCTACATTTGGCGTAACCTGCTGCATAAAGACCGCAAGCTGAAATACGGCCTGTAAACCATTCGGCGCTGGAAAGACGCTTTAATAAAGGAAGGAAGTAGTGCGTGATTTGTGAAGGGTTTAATAACTTGACAATCTTGTTCATCGACTCTACCGCCTTTTCTTATGGTGTAAGTGTCTAGTTCCTGTACATGTATACATATATATGTTCTCACCTTGTCTCTGACGAGGACTTCTTCTACGGAGGCCAAGTTTTCTA